GCAGGGTGTTATAAATATGTTAGTTTTATGTCAAAGAGTTATAAAATTACAAAAATTAAAAACTCTGTGTATCTATCCACTCGAACCTTTCTCCAAAGCTTGAAACGCTGTCAGTGATGTAATCAGCACACAAGCAGCCAATAGTGTTCAGCTTTTTCTGACGACTCCTCCCTAAAAATTTCATTGGCTGTGGTTTGGTAGCTTGAATGAGCTGATGGGGAATGAGTTGTTGTCAGATCATGTAGTGTGTGACCCCCCTCTTGTGGATCGTTCACAGAGTGTTGCGTAGTGTGAACACCACAGAGATTTAAAGACACAAAGTCAAGTCATGTAGTGTGAACGGCACAGCGATCTGCTAATGTTTAAAATCCTGTAGTGTGAACTAGGCTTAATGAGCACATGCAGCAGTGATGCATTTACAAAGACTGCAAAAAACAATATATGCACTGTATTTACAAGTCAGGCCATAAGGTAAACAGAAGATTTTGTAGCTAGTTTCAACTCTTTTTGTGATGAAGTGAAAGTCACTGGAGGCTAAATACAAAAAAAAAAAACTTTGCACATATTCGTAAGAATATCATCTTTTGACTTCCACAAAAAAAGGAAAAAAAAACAAACAAACAATGCACTGAATTGACATGAGGGTGAGTAAAGGATAATAGATTTGTACTTTTTGTGTGAACTGAGATGGGGATTTTTTTTATATTGTTGTAGATCAAATCACATGATAAACGATCGCTCTCTTCTGTTCAGTGATCTGATAAGAAGCTGAAGTGAGGATAAGGCAACGTTCTCTCTGAGGGCTGCATTGTTGAGAATTATGTTGTGCTTCTCCTCCTTATTGTTTCTATGTTGGAAAGTGATAATTGCTTTCTGAGTAATACAGCTCAGTGAACTTTCTCGTGCACCACCTCTTCTCACACAGCATTTATCACAGCAGACCTTGACAAATGATGTGTAGGGTGGGTAAATTGGGATGGGAATTGTTTGGAATTAACAATTCGGCTTCTGATTCATCTTAATTATTCAATTAAACATCATTTCAGCACTTTCTGAAAGAAGCAAATCCCTGAGGTATTGTATTTAACTGTATATACTAAACAAACAACAACAACAAATCAGCCTAAAGATATCTTGCACATCTGTTTCGTGAGGTATCTCTTTCTGTGTTGCTCAGAAATGGTTGAGGATGGTGTGGTGGGCAGAGAGAGATAGTGTCAGAGATGGATGGATGTGGACGAGTGAGACAGGATGTGACAGGCTGAAGGGAGAGTGATGTAAGACCTCTGAGCTCAACCAGCTAAATCAGCTCTCTTTGGCATCTCTGTTCTTGAGACACAGGAGGCTGCGCACTGGTGCGTTATCAAGCCGTCAATACCTCACGCCGTTTGACTGTATCAAGCGGAAACAGCTGAGACTTTTTGAGGAAATGATAAACGAGAGCTTAAGTGCTCTTTAACTTTCAACTCAGAAGAGCAAAGCTTCAGCATTCTCTACATGAAAGCCATTGCTTTAATGTGGGTTAAGTAAAAGGTAATTTTACTTAATTACTCACCCTCACATTGTTCCAATCCACCGAGACCATCGTTCATTTCCATCCATTCATTCATTTTCCTTTGGCTTAGTGCCTTATTTATAAGGGCTCGCCACAGCAGAATGATCCACCTTTGTTTGTCTTTTTAGTGATATTTATTTAAATTTGAGAGTTTGCTTATCCTCCATAGGCAGCAATGGTTCCTAGACAATCAAGTTCCTTAAAAACTCCCATGGTTGCAAGGCATCCCTGTGCAAACAGATGATTTTCAGGTACTGCGTTATATTATTGCGCCTACTGCAGGCATGGAACGTCAGCAAAATTACTTGATTATTATGCTGCAATGAGAGTATAGTTCCTATTTCGGCCTAGATGATAGCAATTTATAATTTAGACAGCTTGGCTAAAACGAGGTTAAAATCTAAAATCTAATAGACATTTAAGAGTAGCCCAAAACTAGACTAGTTGTCAAAATAGACAGACTTTATATGTGTTGTCACTCATTTCTGTTTATTTGATGACTAGTCTAGTTTTGGCCTATTCTTGGAGACGACTATTAGATTTTCACTGACAGCTAAATTTAGGCTTGTTTTAGCCAAGATGACTATTTTTAGTTATCTATTAGACATCTTTTGAAAAAAAAAAAAAAAATACTTGAAGGTGGTTCAATAACTACCTTTAATGATGTTTAGAATGAAATTCAAGTGCTCGCTCATCCTCCATAGGCAGCAGAGGTCCAGAGACATTTAAAGACACGACAAAGGCAAACAGATGATTTTCAGGCACTGCATGATATCATTGCGCCTGCTGCAGCCGTGGTATATGGCAGCAAAATTGCTTGATTATTATACTGGAATGGGAGTATATTTCCTACATCAGCTATAGCAATTTATCACTTTCTTTCAGTCTGAGTACACGATGTAACTACAGAAGCGTCAAGCTTTAAAGGGCACCTGTCATGTAAAATCAACCTTTGGAGGCTGTTTGGACAGAACTGTGTGTTGGTATAGTGTTTGCACAATCATATTGACGTGATATAAACACAGCACATCTGTTTTTTTTTTTTTCCTGAGGTTAGAATAAGATCCAAATCTTAGCATTTTTGAGGCCTACCACACCGTGATGTAGCAGTGTGGTTTTCCCCACTCACTGACATTGATTGAAATGTGCATAGTATTTTCCCAGAGATGGGTTGCGGCTGGAAGGGCATCAGCTGTGTAAAAACTTGCTGGGTAAGTTGGCATGTGTGGGCCACGTAAGTTTGGCCTATCTTGTTTCGTTGCTTTGTATTTGTTATTTGTTGACTTTTTCTTGTATTTGTATAATTTTTGCATATTCTAATAAAAAAAGAAAAAAAAGTTTGGCCTATCTTGACCCACATATCATTTTTGGGAAAAGAAAAAAAATCTACCAGTTAGGTCACTTTGAGACAAAGCACGCCCAAAGTGTGCTTTAAGCGCAATGCTTCATGGCTTTATCAATTTTATTGTAATCTTGACACACCAACCTCTTAATTCAGGCCCAGTTATGAGTTGGCCGATACAGATAACTTGGCCGAGACTTGACCCAGATATGGTTCATGTTTGGCTCTTTTGTGAAAGTCAGCCTTGGTCCAGTCATGTACCGTAATTTACTGCGGCATGTGCAGGGCCGGCGCATCCATAGAGGTGACCTAGGCGGCAGAATACAGAGGGCGGCGTCCCAAACACAACCCTCACCTCTCCCGCCCTCGGTTATTTCCGTGTCTAGGGCGGCGTTCGCGACACTACCCTCACCACCCGCACCCTCAGATATATCCTCGTCTAGGGCGGCAAAATAGAGAGGGCGGCGGCGTCCGCGACAGCTTCCTTGAAACCCCACCTCGCTTTCACTTTATGGTTGAGGGCATAACCGTCCTTTGCCTAGAGCGGCAGTTCAGCTTGCTCCGGCCCTGGGCATGTGGGCCAAGCTCAAACCTGATTGTGTGGGCCAAAGGTGGGCCAGAGAAATTTTGCTATGTGTGCAGTTCTCCTTCTCTGAAGCAAAATGTTTCAAGAGTGGGTGGGGAGAACCAGCTCATTTTCATTTAAAGGTACAGGTGTAAAACAGCTACAATTCAATCTGATCCGAATTTTCAACAAGTTTAAGAAATGATGGAGACACGTTGGAAGTTGGAGTTCTTTTTATAGGAAATTCACTGAAAATCTATGGTCTTTTTTGGGGATAAGCTAATTATCTAATCGATTTAATAGTTTATGCTAATCTAAGCAAAAACTGCACCCGCCAGATCCAAAGATCAGCTGAATGGGTTCAAAAATGGTAAAACTCAACTGTTTAACTCTAGGAGAGTTTTAAAACGAGCCCATTTCCAAAAAAAAAGTGGTGTTTTTAATTACTATCAAGTAAAGAGCAGTATCTTTCTTCTAAAAATACAAAAGAAGATATTTGAAAGAATGCTGGAAAGAAATAATTGTCATCCATAGTAGTTTTTTTCCGTATAAAGAAAGTCAATGGCTACCTATTCAACAGAAAAAAAATGTTGTACGTTGAAGGTTTGGGACCTCATGAGGGTGATTAAATTTAAATTTCTGAAGGAACTATCCCTTTCAAGGACACCAGTCAAGGAGCCAGCACAAAAACGCTCTTAGCTCCGTTATTATCAAAACTAATTTTAGCCAAAATCACACAGCCCAATGATATGTCCTGAGTGCTAGCTCTAAACCTTACTGTAATGTTTATAAAAGCTTCCTGAATGATTCTGAGTGTGATAAGCGTAAGATATCTGACTGAAGTATCTTCCCTCATCCTGCCACAAGTGCAAAACACACCATGCCTCAGGTGCCCGTAGCGCCACCGGCAGAAGCATCTGTGCCTCATTTCCCCCATTACCCATCAACCAAGCAGAGCACTGATGTTCTCACTTCCTGTAAACACTTAAAAACACGAGCCTCCCAGCACAGTGGCCCACTTCAGCCTGAGAAAATGAAAGCGTCTCATAGTCGAGACTTCCAAAAATAACCCTCTCTGGAAAAAATGCAAAAAAGGAGAGTCGTAGGCAGAGAGTAAAGATTTTCTCTCTCTCTCCTGACCTTCTCATTTTAGGAGCACCACGCAACGAAGTCATCTTTCATTCAGTAGCTGAAGAGGAGAAATTGCTCCGTCTATCCAACTTCTCATTCCATTACAGTCAGACTAGAGTAGCGAAAAGCTTTTCATGGCCAGGCCTATGGTTACATAATCTGTAAATGCGGGTAAATGTACTTGACCCTTTCGTCGCTGCATCTGTTAGACCTTCTCTAAAAAGAGATGTGGCTAATTTAATGTGCATTTAGCGGGTTGATGTTTTGCGAAGTCGTGGATATTAGCATTAGAGGAGCACTTACCGTCGGCACTTCAGACTGATGGCGGTTAAAAGCTTTGCAATGTTTGTTTAGGTGTATTAAAGTGTGCAGGCTGTCTCTAATAGCAGCTATTTTGTGCTTTTCAGCTGCGCGGCAGGCATCATGACCACAGCAAGGTACCGACCTACCTGGGATTTGGCCCTGGACCCGCTGGTGTCCTGTAAGCTGTGTCTGGGAGAGTTTCCCTTGGAGCAAATGACCACCATCACCCAGTGCCAATGCGTCTTCTGCACCATGGTGAGTATTTTTTTGTTTGGTTTGGTTTGATTTGTTTTTTTTTTTGTTTTTTGTTCACTTTGTTTGAGTTTGTTTTTTGTTTGCTTTGGTTTGGTTTTTGTTTGATTTGTTTTTGTTTGGCTTTTATTTGCTTTTTTGAGTTTGGTATTTGTTTTGTTTTGTATTGTTTAGTTTGAGGTTTTTTGGTTTTCATTTTATTTGGTTTGGTTTTTTTGTTTGGTTTGTTTTGTTTGTTTTTTTATTTAGTTTGGTTTGATTTAGTTTTTGTTCGCTTTGTTTGTTTTGTTATGGTTTGTTTTTTTTTGTTTGGTTTGATTAGTTTTTTGTTTGGTTTTTGTTTGCATTGTTTGAGTTTGGTATTGGGGTGACGCGGTGGCACAGTAGGTAGTGCTGTCGCCTTACAGCAAGAAGGTGGCTGGTTCGAGCCTCGGCTGGGTCAGTTGGCATTTCTGTGTGGAGTTTGCATGTTCTCCCTGCGTTCATGTGGGTTTCCTCCGGGTGCTCTGGTTTTCCCCACAGTCCAAAGACATGCGGTACAGGTGAATTGGGTAAGTGTAAATTGTCCGAATATGAGAGTGAATGAGTGTGTTTGGATGTTTCATTCCGCTGTGGCGACCCCAGATTAATAAATGAAGCCAAAAAGAAAATGAATGAATGAGTTTGGTATTTGTTTGGTTTGGTTTGATTTTTGTTTAATTGGTTTTCGTTTTGTTTGGTTTTCATTGTGACTGGTTTTTGTTTGGTTTAGTTTTGTTTTATTAACATAAAATGCAATGGATATATTAAATAGCAGGAAATTACATAAATCAAATTAAAAAAAGAATTCATATAAATTTTTAAAAACAGGTACAATCTAAACATGCATTTAATAACAGCATGTATTTTGTTTTATTTTAATAAATGTTTTGTTTTTATTTTACTTTATTTGCATAAAATGAAATACATGAATAAAATAAAATGGATCAACATGAAAAAAATAAAATAAAAATAGAATTATGAAAAACTGGTACAATCTAAGGCATGCATTTAATCACTGCTCACATGTTTTATTTTATCCCCAAAATACACTACAAATCAAATGTAACTAATAAAATACATTTAATAAAACTATGAATATACAGTAGGTAAATGCCATCTAAACATTGCAATTTTTTTTTATTTAATTTTGAATAAAAAGATTTAAAAGCAAGATATTATTTGAACGCAAATTTGTAATTTACCTCAAATAAATAAAAATAAATAAAAGGTATCCTCTGCCTTATTTTCAAAAATAAAGATTATTTCATTCTTGATTCCTGTCTTTAGGCTGCACTATTATCGGAATGGAACGTCTAAAAATAAATCCGTGAGATTGTTACATAAGCCTCAGTCATTTTGAAACGTGTCTATATTTAAGCACAGGATTCACAGCTATAGACAGAATCTCCACAGGCCAACTGAACTGTTTTTCATTTCAGCAATGCAATTCACAGTCCAGTAATAAACATCGAAGGCTTCTTTAGCCCTCTGAGATTTTCTGTTCTGGGAGCAGTTTCTTTCTGTTGTGTTTTTACACTGTTTGGAGACCGATTTTATTTATATCTTGATGTAGAAGGCAACATTTGGGAAAAGGAGCCACTGGAGCAGGGTAAAGGCAAAACATCTCCTCATCTGACTCTGAAAAGCCTTGTCTTGCTTCTGTCTGAGCTTACTAGAGACAAAACTGTCTTTGTGTTTTAAGCAAAGCATGTTCATGGAAACACCCTCAGTCTGCCTTGCCAAACATTCCTAAAATCTCAAAAAAGGTTTTGTTCAGATTAAATTTTTATTTTATTTTATTTTATTTTATTTTATTTTATTTTATTTTATTTTATTTTATGGAAAATGTGACCTATTTTTTTCCCTGAAGCATTAAATAAATAATAAAATAAGCTTGTTTTTTCATAGCCTATTAAAACAGCCAGTTCGCAAATTGCTAACATTGAAGGATAATTAGTCTTGGACAAGTGACTGCGTCTTCCTTAAATTGAGATGTTACACTCTGTAATTGTTTTGAGGATGTTAACAGTTCATTACGAGTGGTTAAGTGCCGCTGTCTTAGCACTCGCAGAAGCAGGGAGCAATTTAAACTGAAAATCAAACGAATTTGCTTGAATATAATGTATTTTTCTGTATGTTCTATTTTATTAATTGCTTTTTAATGTCTTGTGTCTTAAAGTGCCTGAAGCAGTACGTGGAACTTCTTATCAAAGAAGGCTTTGAAACCGCCATCAGTTGTCCAGACTCAGCCTGCCCAAAACGTGGACATTTACAAGAAAATGAGGTAATTTCAGGATACACTACTGTACTAAGGTTAAAAGATTTCTTTTATTCTGACAGAATGCATTTCTTTAATTAGTTAAAAAAGACAGTAAACACTTACAAAAAACACTTACACTTACTTTCCTTTTGCACTTTGTTTTCATCCAGAATAATTTGAGAATGTTTGTATTTTCCTTTCCCAAAAATATTGTTTTGGCACTGAAAATTTTGCTTTTATGGGATTAAATCATATTTTAAATAAAAAAAAATGAAATATTATTATTCCTTCATTTATTCATTTTCTTCGGGATTAAGCTAACACGGAATGAACTGCCAATTTATCCAGCATATGTTTTACGCAGCGGATGACCTTCTAGCTGCAACCCCTCACTGGCAAACACCCATACACCCACTGTGCCACTGCGTCGCCGAAATATTATTATTTTAAGAAATATAAAATATTTATAAAAATAAAAAATATAAATATATATTTTTTTGTTATTTTAAACAGTAAAAATTAACTATTTAATTTTGTAGTCTGCTCTACATATACTCTAAGCTCTGGACTTGTAAAATCTGGAAATTCCAGAGAAAAAATTAATGGAAACTATCAGAATTTGGAGAAAAAATAAAATCTGTTATAGGAACCTACATCCTTTCACAACTTGAAAATGTGACCTGTTTTATGCGTGACATAACCATAATAATAAATATTATTGCAATTTGAATGTTAAATATTTGCTATTATAACCCAGAGTTGATAATAGTTAGTGGTCAGTAACATAGCATTATTATAATCTTCAAAGTAGAAATTTTGAATTTCAGAGCAGTTTGTACGGCCGCCTGACTGATATGTAAAGCAACCAGTCAGTCACACAGTTTGTTTTCTTCAGTGTCACCTTTAAGAGCAAGAATATGTGACATCAGGGTCCCTACAATAACAGAACAGCGCTTACATTACTTGGACGTATTTTGAAGAGGCTTTGATATAAACTATAAACAATTACTAACTATCAAAATACATGCTTCAGCCACATTTTTGTAAAACCGCCAAGCATACTTCATTATATGTTTGACTGCAGTTTCTAGGTAAAATGAATGATATGGGCCAGTATGATGCCAACAACTTTTGTTCCTTTTTCACTCTAAAGATATTTACAGGGACATATTTTTGGCAATTAAATTATAAGTTAATTATATTATCGAAAAACAAATAAATAACACAAAGCTACTTAAGGGTGTATATTATTTATAGAAGAATACATATGTCTCATCTATACTGTAAAAAATGCATGGCTCCACACAGCTCATTCATGTTGTCCCAACACAAATCGATTAAGTTGGCCCAATGAAATCTCAAGAACTGTGTTGTTTCAGCTCATTTTAAATTAGTTTGAACTAGCAAAAAATAACTTTTTTTGAGTATATATATCTCCATATGAAGAACTTTTCTTGCATGTTTAGTTTGCTCGGTAGCTCACTGTACGTTGTACAGTGTCAGACTTGTAATCCAGAATGTTTGGGTTCAAGTCCAGTGAAGCACAGTTCCACAATAAAATTAAAAGCAATGCAAAATCAAGGTAAAGCTTTGTGAACACCGAACACGTTTCTTTTGTTTGCTTTTGAAGACCCTATTACTTAGGTTTAGGAAAGGGTTTAGCTAACTGCTTTGCCAGGTGATCTGTAAGATAAGCCCTGTCTTCTTGTGGATGTGTACATGAATGATGTGGAAAAACATTATTATTATATTTCAGATTGGCATAAAATGTAGACAGCACCCTCTAGTGGATTTGTCATCTGAATCGTGCAACTAAACGTACCCAGAGCAACGTATGTTACGTTTTGCAATAATGTAGGCTGAGGCATGTATTTCCAATGAGCCTGGGTCATTTCTTTCCTACTAGAGGGTTTACAGTGTTGCTAGACTGGATATCACTGTGGCAGTAAATTAACAAGAAGTATTTGTATTATTCATTCATTCATTCATTCATTTTATTTTCAGCGAAGTCCCTTTATAAATCCAGGGGCACCACAGCGAAATGAACCTCTAACTTATCCAGCATATGTTTCACACAGCAGATGCTCTTCCAGCCGCAACCCATCACTGAGAAACATCCATACACACTCATTGACACACACACTCATACACTCAGAAATAAAGGTACGCGAGCTGAGAATGGGGTGGTACCTTTTCGAAAGGTACACGTTATACGTACTTAAAGGGTCCATATTGGTGCCTTAAAAGTATATATTAGTACCTAAACATTTTAAGAGGAACACTTTTGTACTTTTTAGGTATACCCTTGAGGTATTAATATGGACTTTTTAGGTACTAATTTAGGTACCTTTTGAAAAGGCACCAGCCCAGTGACAGCTTGTGTACATATATTTCTGAGAGTGTATGAGTGTGTGTGTGTGTGTGTGAATGAGTGTTTCTCAGGGATGTGTTTTCTGAGAGTGTACACTAACTACGGTCAATTTTAGCATACTGAATTCACCTATACCACATGTTTTTGGACTTGTGGGGGAAACCGGAGCACCCGGAGGAAACCCACATGAACACGGGGAGAACATGCAAACTCCACACAGAAATGCCCAGCCGAGGCTTAAACCAGCAACCTTCTTGCTGTGAGGCGAACATGCTACCCACTGCGCCACCGCATCACCCTATTACTTATTAAATTACCCAATAATTGTATTTTATTAATGTTAAGCCTAACCCAAAACTATCACAGTGATGTAAAACAGTAATTACACCAAGTATTATGCATATTATTACTCATTAAATTGGATTTTATTAACGCTTACCCCTACTCCAACCCTAAACCTACACACATCCATTCTAGACTTCATCGAGGTTGGCTGTCAAGGTTTTGGTGACTTCGAAAATCCTGAAATGTTCCATTTTGTATGCTTTACATATCAGATGTCTTAGTCGTGCATGTGTGTGTGTGTGTGCGCGTGTGTGTGTGCGTGTGTGCGTGTGTGTGTGTGTGTGTGTGTAAAATGGATGCTTAAACCTCTCCAGTCTGACTCCTCTCTGTGGCTTGCACTATGAAATCCTTCCAAGTATGAGGTCAGTCCGAGGGCAGGGTTCCTCCTCGCCATTGCAGCCTCATTGTGAGCTCGTTCAGTATCAAACCAGATGACTCAAACACAGATGCAGAGTCTTTTCTAACAAATTATGTCATTTTAGCACCAAAATTACGCATGCATATTCCTGCTGTCTTCTTTGATATCAAGATAGGGATCAGATTAGAAACCATAGCTGTTGTTGTTGGGTGTGTGCGTATCAAAATGAAATGTTAAATCTGTAAAGCGAACAGTGCTTTTGTGTCCCATCAGATCACGTTGTTTCATAATTGCTGTTGTTGTCTGTCTTTTTCTCTCAGATTGAATGCATGGTGGCCACAGAGATAATGCAGAGGTACAGGAAGCTGCAGTTTGAGAAGGGTAAGTGGAAAGAGGCTTGTCTGTCCATCAGGGGGGCAATTAGCATCAGATGGCAGCTGAGGAGGCACGTGTTCGTGTTTGTTGTCGGTGAACTCCATGCTCACTGTCCTAGATGACTCAGAGTGACTCATAGGAGACAAATAGGCCGGCGCAGGTGTGTGTGCAAGGATGAAAGGGAGTGAGTGGACTCCAACAGGACACGTGTGGGTCCGGCTGACTTCATGCTGGTGCAGAATGGAGGGTTTCACCTGTGCTTTGTGTGTTTCTAACAATGGAAGCCTGCCACCTGCCGACATCCAGTTTAATGCTACCTCATTATGTTAACTGGTTTCTGATTTTCTTGTCGTGCTTGGTGCAGAAATCATTAGAGAGCACATGAAAATCTGCACGTTTACTTGAAATGCCTTGTCCATTTTGTAAAAATCAAAGTGGAAGTTGTGTTTAAAAGATAGAAGAGATTGTTTACAGACATGTTTCCAGAGCATTTATTTTGTCAATGTTGTCGTGCCTGGGTGGTTTGCAGTGTTCAGAATAATAATACAATTTATTTAGGGAATCTGCTTGTAAAATACATTTTTTTATTTGTCTCTAAATATGTGTTTAGAAAAGCCTAGTAGATTTATGGATATCAAAATGTAAAAAGAATTAATCAATAAATCTTTTAAATTGTATTTGAAATTTATTTATTTATTTTTTTTTTTATTTTTATTTACGTAGCTGTAGCATGCTAATAGAACAGCATTTTACAAAATATTCAAGCCACTTTAACAAAAGCCTTTTATTTTGTGAAAAACACAGTGGGCAAAGTTAGGGAACAGCAGTTTATGTAGTACCAAGAAAGTAAATTTCAGAAGGTTACAGCAGTTGAAAATGAGTATGAAATGTGCATACTTTGAATGCCTTGAGCTCATCTGCAGGCACAGGACATCCCTGTCACTCACAAACATCATTAGTCTATTTTTCTTAGCCAGAACTTTATTGCCATGGATTTTCAAACAGGTTTACATCAGGACTCTGGGCATGCCATTTTAATATTTCATTTTTTCCAGCTACAGCGAACTGCTTTACCTGTTTTTTCTCTGTAGCTGGGCTCATTTTCATGCGTGAAAATTGCTGGATGGTTGAATGATGAAAGCAGGGAAGAAGTTCCATTTTGACAAAGGAGCTTCTGATAAACATTTACATTTACTGTCATGTGTCAAGTGACCTCCACCTTTTCTGACTTCTTCATAAACTTTGAATATAAACAATCTTTTTCCTAGTTTGGCAGCGACCATAATGTTTCCCGTCTGAACCAAATAAATTGAACTTGATTTCATCACTAAAGTGAACTTTGGACCACTTTTTTTATTTCCAACAACACTCACTCAGAGTGAGCTTTTCAGTCCAAATTCTCTTAAATGTCAAGACATCGTAGGTCAAGATCTTAGCTTGTCTGTTCAGTGCTGTATTGGGGAGCTGCAGTGTTGAATCAATCCTGTCTTCTTATGCATCTTTTTTCTGTTGATGACCAAGTTAGTGACATTGTGAGCTATGCATTAGTTACAACTTAGTCTAATTACAGTATTGGGGCAGTTAAAACTTAAAAAGATTTCCTTGTATTTCTTTCTTGATGTATGTTTTCTTGCCACACATATGCATATAACATATGGTATATGTTTAGTTTAATACATAAATTCTTAATATAATGTTAATGTTAGGATTTAGTTATTTAAAAATGCTCTTTAAAACCTTTTATGTATTCTTTTTTCGCAGTGCTGATAGTCATATGATGCCTTTGAAACAGATCCTTGCATTATATGATTATATGATGAAAAGTGTGTTTTTTTTTGGTCAACTTTGAACAAGAGCAGTGCACTGTGGATTTAATTCAGCTTGAGCAGCACAGCATAAATTCATACTAGAGTCTGTAATCTCTAGAGGGTTTATATGCAATACAAAATCCTGCTTTTACTTACCTTATAGGTTTGGGGCAAATAACTGTGTGTTTAAGCAAAATTTCCATGAAAGCTTATAACCTGGAGTAATAGCTGTAAGCATGTATTAAACAAACAAGCATGAGTATTCAACATACTATTTTAAAAAAATACAAACAGAATTTTAATATATTTACAATTATTTATGTGCCACTATTGAATCACTGAATGTAAATGTTATATCATCAGACAGTAATGCATTCTATTAACAAATAATGTAAATATTTGTCTGACTAGCTACAGTAGTTTTAAAATAGTAGTGAGCCTATAATGTGAACTTTGCTTTCCAGTTTAAGTAAGGTGTAATTGTCAGTGGACCATTGAATTATTAGAAAATAATGCTGACCCCAACCAAAATAAAGCATCCAACAGCTCTGTAGAAAAAAGGCTTAGTTCTTGGTGGCTAAAATTGGATTCCACCAGCTGTTTATTATGTATGAACCCAAGGTAAACTATGAACGGAGTTGAAAATCCGGTATTACACTAATCTGGGATTAAAATCACATCTTAAGTAGACATTTTAAACTGTGACATGCTTAATTTCTTTGACAGTAACATTTCAAGAGCAGGGCTCATGATTCATGGTTTAAGCATTGCAAACTCTCCAACTAAAAACACAAAATTGTTTACGTTTTTGCAGATTTATTAAAAGAGAAAAACTCATATATCAAATGTGAAATGTGAATATATCTGAACTCATATATCTGTGAAAATGTTAATGTTTGAAAATAAATAGTCTATTAAAGGTCATTAAATAAAAAGTCATTAAAGGGCCATGAAACCCCCTCATTTCAGCAGGGTGTTTTCACACCTCTACTTTGGAAAAAGTCAGAAAAGTGGGCATGTCCAGCTCTGTTTAGGGGGGAGTGTCGGAGGAACTAAAGTGGGAGGGTGTGGGAGTGTCTATTTGGGCACGCGCGAGTTTCAGAGTCAAAATACACACACAGGAGAAAGTGATGGTGTTTAACCTACATGGACATCTGTAGTCGAATTATTTGCCAAATTATTAAATGTTGTACTTTAACTGCAGTTTGTCTCTTTGATTCAGGGAATTCATTCATGCCCCTCGCGACAAACGAGATATTTGATTCGGGGATCTGCTCTAAGCGTGTATTTTTGATGCAATGTTTGATACCGCACGGCGAATGAGAGAAAAAAACCCTCCGCATTTCCCGGAAACTTAGATGCACACGGCAGGTAGCGTCAGAAAGCCGCGTGTGTTATTCCGGTCACAAAATGCGTTAAAACCCTACACGAGGTTAAAGTTTGGTTGTGGTGCTAACATGTTTACACTGTTTATGCAATAGTTAACTTAGTTCGATACGAACAAACTGAATAAACAAAGAGCACTGGTCGCTCACTTACCAAATCTGTAGAGACAGGACAATCACCAGCAACTAGAGCCGCGTCTTTATGAAGAGAAGACTACAAGAGAAACCAGATCTCAGCGTTTGCAGATGAGAACAGCTCTCAGGTAAACAATAATCATCCTTAGACACGTAAGTTATTGTTGTCAAGCGTTGCGTACACTGTTAATCCACACGTGATCCAGATAAGCTCTCACAGAGAGAAAATGAAAACAAAACTTAACGGCAGCAAACTATAAAAGCAACACTTCACGCTTGTTTTGCCAACACAACGTGGCGTCTCTGTCGTGTAAACACGGTGACACTAATGAATATTAATGAAGTTGCACAATAGAGCGCGCTGATTGGTTTGAACCAAGCCTTACTTATGCATTAATGCATCACACTGTAAGACGTAATAAGACTCACTCTGGCACAGACAACCAGTCTGCACGCTGGAATACAACGCTATTATGTCATGGCCGTGACGCAGCTTCAAAAATTTGTTTCAAACCGGAAGTACGAATTTGCTTGAAATAACGCAAAAACAAGCAATTTACACTTTTAAGTGAAATATAGGTGTCCTAATAGTGTTTTTAGCAGTGTGGGACACATATACGACAGCTCAAAAAATGTGTTTTGGTGTTCCGTGATCCTTTAAAGGGCACCTATGATGAAAATCAACTTTTGGAAGCTGAACTGTGTTTCTAACATAACTGTGTGCTGGTATAGTGTGTCCACTGTCATATTGGGATGATATAAAGACAAGTCTTTTTATTTTATTTTATTTCCTGACATCAAAATAGGATCCAAATGCATTGTGCGTGACTCATCGTTGCAGAAAGGCTTAAATTAACTCCACAACAAATATATTAAATAACAGCTGGGAAAATTCTTACTGTAGTAAGTGAGATCAGCTTTATTCTTGTCTGTCACTGTGCTGCTACGGCTCTGAAGGCTACGGCTCTTACATGCACATGGAAATGGTAGGCGGTGAGAGCCAGCTTATTCCCACAGGCAACAAAAACAGCTGCCATGTCTTAACAGCCTAAATTTCCCAGATTGAAAACGGTATAATAAATAATCTGATGGGTGTTTTGAGCTGAAACTTTACAGATAAATCCTGGAGACACCAAAGACTTGTATTAAATCTTGAAAAACGGGTCAAATAGGTGCCCTTTAAGCATTTTGTGCTGTTGAACATCAACTCCCAATTCAAAAATCTGAAAGTCTCTAAAAGTTGTTTAATTATTCCTAGTATTTTAAGTTCCCATAATATCGATATTGCGCATCTTCATTATCACAATGATACAATATTAAATAACTAAATATTAGCATATGTCTAGACTGAATCATTCTGTATGGTACACTGAAATAATAATTTTAACAAATTTAGCTTCAAGTCAGAAATCTCAAAGTAAGAGTAAATTAGACTTGTGTTAATTGGATGCGCTTGATCAAAAGCATACGTGTACCCTGAAACGGATTAGAAACCATGGCGTTGTGCCATCTTCCAGCACATTATACTTCTCTTTCATCCTCTTCATCAGTAGGGGATCCCAGACGCTAGACTCTGATAAGTCTCCAGTAGTTTGAACCACAGGATGCATTTGCTCGAGAGATATTCTCCGTCCACCCCCTCCGGTGCATTACATTGCTTTGAAAAGGAGGTAAGGGAGGAAAATAAATGTAGTTACGTGTGTCGGTTGTTCCCATGCTGTGAGACACCCTCACTGTTTCTCTTTGGTTTGTATTTGAGATTTTCATCCTTTTGTTTGAGAGCCGTGTAAGTATCTACCACGTAAAGGAGAGACTTGCATATATAGCAAGAAAGTAAAAATGCATCCGTTTAGCTTGAGAACTGGAGCGTAATGGTGGCTATAACATATCCACACACTCCCAGAAACAGAGCCAGGAGGTCATGCGGAGTCACGCGTGGCCTGCCATGTCAGATAGAGAGGCCGAACGTGAGCGTGTTCGGTTTGTAAGAGACTCAAAGTGCATGTGAGGACGGATAAAAATGCATGACATCCTGACTCAACGAGACTGCTGAAAATGGCCGTCAGCAGATATTATGAAAGGCCCCTTTTTTATCTTAATTGCCCACAACCACACATTACATACATATCTGAGCTTAGCCATATGTCACTAACAGACCATTTTATGCATTCATTAGACAGAGCGAGTGAGCACAACCATATTAAATACATGTTTTGGTAAGATTAGGGAGCAGTAATTTGGACCAGTCAGCATTAAGGGGCTGCTGTACCTTGGACACCCAAGAAAGTCATATAAAACATTGAAAATTTCATAGGGAACACCCAAATTATAATTTAGCTACAGTACCAATCGTCCTGAGAACCAGCTTGAAATGGCCTACTAACAAAACAAAATCCATGACATTTATGGTAAAAGAAGCTGAGAGCTGTGGTTGCCAGTATATCATCACTCAATATAATAAAGGAAGAAACCATAAATGAAATGTCATAATTTTACACTAAACTGACGTATTTGGCTAATTTGTAGTGTTTTACATCATTGTTTGTTAAATCTAGACATCATACCTTGGTTACACACACAAAAACACAACCATAGGCATATGGGAATGAGAAAGTCATGATGAACCAGTGTCCATCACAAACAGCAAGCACAAGCAGAGCTAGATACTAACATAAAGAAGGGACTCTGTGTCATTCACACAACCACTAAATATACCATCGTTACTAGGTCTGCACGATACTGGCAAATGTGCGATATTGTTGTTGAGTGTTGTGATAATCATTCATCCAAAATAACTAACTCTACAAAATGCTACTTTATCAGCGTAATTTAATCTAATGACCATACTAAAGTAAATAGTTTGTAGATATTACAACACGAGTGACTGAAAACCTTGGTGGAAATTCTGATTCTTATTGGCTGTTGGCATTTTCCTCTTCAGCATTGGTATGTATTTTGATCTGGAGATTCACCTAACAGCACCAACTGAAGAGGTGGGGATAACGATAGTAAAGGCTTCATCTGATTGCTTAGGTTTAATAAATAACCTATGCATGTTGCACACACATTCTTGGCACAGAAAACTCTGAGATATGGATATTGCATATGCTATTATTATGATAACCATAATTTATCAATATATTGTGCAGCCCTAATGATAATGATAATAATCAGGGCTTGACATTAACTTTTTTGATCAACAGCCTCTGTAGTTAGTTTTCCAACATTACAATTTTGTTGCTGGAAATGTATATTTTATAAGCATAAATTTGACTTTGACATGCTAAAATTACATGTGTTGGCACCATTTATGATTTTAATATATATTTATATTTTATTTGTTTATTTGTTGCATGATTGATAAAGATTAATAATATTCTAAGGTATTATTCTGTGTCACTGATCGAGTGGTTTAGTGATATAGATTAACTCCACCTATATGTTACGTCAGCTCACCTGCTTACATAAGGGCTCACAGGTGATGGGTGATCAGCTGGCAGGAGTAGCGGGGAGGGGGGGGGGGGGGGGGGGGGGGTTTTGACCGTGTTTGTAGCATTTGTAAGACAAATAAAATTAATTTTGAGATTTAAATTCTTGGACGTGTCATGAACATCACTGCTCCTGTCAATACGGCTCCGTAATAACTAGATGATGCTGGAGACCGTAATAGCATGATTTAGATTTTGTGTTATGTTCACATGCCTCCTCGTTCATTTCACTTTTTGTGTGTCGTGTATGCGCTTGCTCAGTGAGCATGAGGAACTAGGTCATAGTTTCATAGTGTCGTATTACAATTCGTTTTTATTTCACATGACATTTCAGAGCTCAAAATTATGGATTTGTTTCATTCATCTCTGACCACACCAAACATAAATTATTTATGATCCACTAATTTTAAATGTCTCAAAACCAGCAAAATATGGCTGTATACATGCACTTTTTATTTAACAAAACATTTCTTTAAAAAAAATTGACATTTAAAAAATATTTATTATCTTGTATCTGCACAGTAATCTGTCCTGGCTAAAGGTCCAGATCACTAGTTAACTATGCATAAATAGGGAGTTAATCTCATATTAGAGCAATGTTATTGTAAAGGATAATAACTAAAACAGAAATAAAATAAAAATTACTGTAAGCAAATGAAAGCAGGTGAAAAACATTCTGTGTGTGAAAATAAAAGGATGATCATGGGCACACGGTTAACATTAGTCCCATTAATAATCTTTTCAAAGAATGGTTAAAGCGAAAGCAACTGGTGCTGCTTACAAAAAGATAAATCTAGAGCTCTTGAAAGTAGCAAGACTGTGGGTGCATTACTTTTTGTCTAGTCTATTTGAAAGAGAACCGATCACATCAGTTGCGTTTCTAGGCATGGTTGTTTCACACAAGTAAACGGGAGCGTGCACATGTTTTAAACAGTCGCGCACATCACATCAGCTGTTAGCGCGAGTGATCGTCCTCTCATTTGGTTTTCACCTGCTTTCTTTTACTCGTGCAAACAGTTATTTTTGTCAGTCGTGCTGCTTCTCGATTCTAAGATCGCATTTGCACGAATATTAAAGTGGCTAGTGTGAGAGTCTGTGAGTCTGTGCCTAACCTGCCACAGCTGAAATCTACCCGCATTTGGCGGGTTGGCAGGTGTTAATGTCAAGCCCTGGTAATACACATAAAATTTAATTAATGCCATTAACATTATTTACTATTTAAATAACAAAAAATCTAAAGAACCATTCATTCATTTTCCTTTGTCTTAGTCCCTTTATTCATCAGGGGTTTCAACAGTGGAATTAACTGCTAACTTATCCAGCATATGTTTTACACAGCGAATGCCCTTCCAGCTGCAACCCAGTACTGGGAAACACCCACACATTCTCATTCACACACATGTAATACAGGCAATTTTAGTTTATTCAATTCACCTATAGCGCATGTCTTTGGACTGTGGGGTAAACCATAGTACCTGGAAGAACCCAAGCAAACATGGGGAGAACGTACAAACTCCACACAGAAATGCTAACTGACCCAGCCGGGACTCAAACCAGCAACCTTCTTGCCGTGAGGCGACCGATGCTGTCTGAGAAAAGTGTGTTTTTGTGTGTGTGAGGGTCAGAAGTATAGTGATTGTGAATGGCTTTTTTTTTTTTTTTTTTTGTAGTACAAGTAGTCAAATCAAGTTACAGCTTGACTTATTTCTAAAAAAAAAAAAAGACCTAGAAACCACCCAGAACACCATAGAAATCAAATACACAATACAAACCAAAACATCACCCATCATTTGGATCTTTTGCACAGGCAAGGGCCACTCACATTTACTCACACAACTAGCTACTAGCAAACGTAGTTATGATTGAAACAACAGCGTTTCTACCTCCCGTTGCGTCTAGACACACACTATGGTAAAATCACTGGGATGCACAGGCTTTTTGTGTTAATGAAAGCTAACTAATGACTAATGAATTTATGCACAGCTATGATAAACATCTTGTTCCTGGGGACAGATGAGGCCAAAGCTGCTCTTTTCTACTAACCCTCTATTTCTGATTGTGTAACCATGGCAACCTGTCAGCCAGCATCAGCTGTAGCAGCTCAAAATATACAGACTGCGTCTGATCTCTCATCTCTCACCCCCCCACAGAGGTGTTGCTGGACCCAAGCCGGACCTGGTGCCCGTCTTCCACGTGCCAGGCTGTGTGCCAGCTGAAGGAGTCTGACACGGTACTTCCGCAGTTGGTGCGGTGCAGTGTTTGCACACTTGAGTTCTGTTCCGCCTGCAAGGCCAGCTGGCACCCGGACCAAGACTGCCAGGAGAACGTTCCCATCACCTCGTTTCTACCTGGAGAGAGCAGGTACTGTTAAAGATAATGTATTGGTTCAGTCCAAGTAGGAGCAGGGGTTTCAAACTCATTTTAGCTCAGGGGCCACATGGAGAAAAATCTGTTCTCAAGTGGGCCGGACTGGTCAAAACAATGGGGAGGGGAGAGTGGGGGGGTGGTTGACTACCACGCCTTCTTTTTCAAATGGTACATTTTTATACGACTGAACTCGTACGAAATAGCCACTAAAATGACAAAACGTAGAATAGTTACATTTGCTCGTGAGATCACCTCAGTGTGCAGTGCTTCCCACAGGTTTGAAATATACTTGCGGTGGTTGCGGATTGAAAAACACCCTTTTGCCACAGCACATAAATGGTCAACTACATGCGACAAACATAAAATATTGTGATTTTTATCTTGATTTTTATTTATTTTAACACTGTTATGTAACCTTTCAATTCTTTTCAATGGGTTAAAGTTATTTTAAAAAGGCTGTTGAAATAATAGAAATTCACCATTTCTCTTACTTTTATGCTATTTAGACATGCAATGTAGACTATTGGATGTCTTCAGTAGAGTGCATACAACACCGTTTCCTTATCTATGAAAGTAAGGGAGTAAAGTAAAGAGTAAAAGTAAAGAGAAAATAAAGAGGCCAAATAGAGGCTCATTCTTTATCCTTGCTTCAGATTGTCTGTTTAACTTTTTTTCCCGCTAGTGAAGCATTCAGTTTTTACATTTACAAAGTCTGCCATGTAAATAACAAATACGTCATGGCGCAACTGACTCTTAAAGGGAATGGGAGATGAGACTCTGATTGGTTTAATCCACGTTATGCTCAAAACACACCCATAACTCATTAAGAGAATAAGCACAACCCTATTAGACCATGTACCAGGCCGCAGACTGTATTTTTCCATCCTTAAAACAGCAAAAGTGGATTCGAACAGTGCAGTGACTTGCTTTACGGTATATCCAAAGAAAAGAAAGATATCCAAAGATACCTATTCAAGTTGTTAAGAAATCTGTGATATTAAAACTAATGAGCATAGCAGATTCAGTGATTTAATTTAGTTATTTAACCTGACATGTTTGCTGTTCCAAAATATTTGTTTCTTAAAATAAAATATATTGTGTTCTTTGGGGGGGAAACTTCATATCATATCATCAGAATATTTTACCAGCTCTATACTATTTTTATAGCATTATGACCTCTTTTTTTGTCAAAAGATCTGTGGAATTTAGGTTTTTCAGTTCGTGAAATATCCTTTATTTGACAGCACTTGTGGCATATTGTTGAAAGTCACAATACTAAATCTAACTTATCCATTTTTTTTAAAGTCTGATTAAAAAAAACTGGGTTGCAGTGAATTTAAAAGTGAAATGAGGCCAATCTGTAAGCATTAAAAATCCCCTGCGGTGAAAATCAAGTTATTAATGCTGTTTGCATGTCTGTCTGCTGGGTTAAACATGATTAAAGACAAACCAAGTGCAAATTCATTGGTAAACAAAGATTTTCTCCTTTATACTACAATGTACCAAAGACTCCACAATTCAAAATCTCGCATGCATCTATTAGCCACAAAAGGTGCAAAAGAACACAGGAGTCAGTTTCTGTGAGCTGAAATGTGATCTTAATTCTCTCTGCTTGTAACATGTCGGTTTGGTTTAATGATTTATTCATTAATACAATCATTTAATGTTACACTGTGCAGCTTACCGTGTAGTAAATCTGTTACATGCATTTAAGTCTTTCTCCTCATCATTCATCAGCGGCTCTGCTTCAGTTTATTTTTGTTTTTTCTGATGTGTGTTTAAACACTCCCTCTGCTCCATATGTGAATCCAGCTGTCAGGATGAGCCATGTACTCTGTAATGGTGTTCGATGTTGATAAGTCGGTATGCGATTTGAAATGAAATATCTCAATCCCTCTGTGTTTTTCTGCACTATTAAACATGCTCGTCGTTGTGCCTAAGAATGAATCTTCTGCTTTTTGGGATTTGCTCTCGACTCGGTAAGCCAGAGATTCAAGAACAGGTGTTATTTGACATTCGTGTCACACTCCTGCTTGATTCAAAAGCTGAAGAGTCATTGAGTTGAGCGTCGGATCCTTGATCTCGGGTCGTACTGGAATGAACACTCAGCCTGTCTGAAGTCAATTGCTTCACCAAAACACACCAGTCACAATACTCCAAAGAGCCTTTCAAGTTTACGCTCAATTTCTGTTTCATTTCATATGGGAGTTTGTGTCCAGGGTATCTCAAAATGAGAGAACGGGTCTGTGAACATCATGATGGACGCCATTTACACTTTAAATGGACACTTTTGTTTTGTTTTGTTTTTCAGGAGTTTTGTGAGGTGACCTGACTCTTAAAACTAAATTGTGAAGCACTTTTGTGTCTGATGTTTGGTAACAATTGTTTAATAATAAATGCATAACTTTTAGTGTATATTTAGGGACCAAGCACCAATGGTGCGTAGGCCAAATTGGAATTGCTTAGTTTATTATTATCATAATTATCATAATTATTATTATTATTATTATTATTATTATTATTATTATTATAAAGCTCCTAATTGAGGCAATTTTGAGGGTCATAACATTCTCGAAAACGTGTGAAACTCTGCACACACACCAGAAGGGGTGAAATTGATCTTTTGATATGGGTTTCAGAAGTGGGTGTGGCAATATGGCTCGACGCCACCACCTATAAACATTTGATGAAGTGACCCCCAAGCTACGTTTCATGCACACACACGGAAATTGGCACACATCAAACATGCCAATACCTGCAAAAAGAAGCAAAATCTGAACTCCCAACAGGAAGTCTTGTTTTAGTATTGTTTTGTTTAGGTTATGTTGAGGTTTGTTTCATTTAATGTTTTAAAATGTAGATATTTAATTAATTATTTGAAAATTATTTGAGATTATTAAAAAAAAAAAATATATATATATATATATATATATATATATATATATATATATATATATATATTTATAAAAATATATATATATAATTTATCAATAAAACATTTATTTTTAAGACACGGTTTTATCTTAGACTTTAAAGTAATTAATGGTTGAATTAAAGTAAACCAGCTAGCAAATTGCTACTTAGGTAAACCTCACTCCTCAGACCTCTAAAGGTGCTCTGGCAACAGACGCAACAAGCAACCGACTTTAATACAAAGAATTGCTGGTTTGATCCTCGCTCAGAGCAAGTTGGGTGCAGAAGGACTGGTGGGTTACACAAGAAGGCTCGTTCGGAATGGGAGTGAGGTTTATGCAGGTGAGTTGCTAGTGAATTGCAATGGCAAACCTCAGTCTTGAGATCTGCGCGGAACTAAATTTTTAATCCTGCTCCCACCGGGTTTTTGTTCGAACCTGACCACTACTGCTTATATTTAGGATTTGTTGTCCTGCTGAGGACAGAGGACCAAAACCAAAAACCACCAATGATTCAGAGTCCAGACAGCCTACAACAAGCTGTCTGTATAAACACACACACATAGACACACAGCACCAAGCAAACGACACACAGCATCACGCTGTCTCTCATTCACACACATACACACACACATAGACAGCAACAAACAAGCAACACACAGCATCACGCTCTCTCATTCAAATCCATATATACGTGTGCTAGCTCGCCTGGGAGTCAGGAGCGATATAGTTAGACCGCCTGCTCCCGTTCAAATTACACCAGTTACTGACCGATCCTGGAAATGTATTCCCGCACTTCAAGAAATTGGGAATGCAGACCTCTACCTCAGTCCTCTGACCTATATAGGGGCACTAGAATCGCTGGTTTGATCCCAGCTCAGAGCAGGTTGGGTACAGTAGGATTACGGTGGGTTACATTTACAAATAAAAAAAAATCTAAATAAAATTACAAAAATAATAAAACATTTGGAGGCATACAAAACTACTAAAACTCGAACTAATGTTTAAGACATGATAATTACAATTAATTCAAAACCTTAATAAAAATACATATTTAACTGATACTAAAATAAAATTGTATTTTTATGTTTATTGCAATGAAAAATGTAGTACAAACTGCAGCATAGTGAAGTTGGTGAAATCACAGGTAATTACAAAAATTCAGTTTCACAAAATCCTTCAGAAATCATCCTAACATGCTGATTTGATATTCAAGAAACATTCTGATTAGAATCATTTTTGATTCAAGTTTATTTCTTAGTATTATCCATTGCTGTTTGACAGTATTTTGAATGATATAATCAAACATGTTGTTATTATTATTATTAATCTGATGATTAACAGTACCTCAGCGAACTGCAGTGTTGCAGTACTGTGAGTCACATTGGTTTCTGCAGAGAAGCTGCTGCTGCTGTTTAACCGTCTATGAGAGGTTTGCTGCACAGTGTCACTTCCCTTAGATCAATAGAGTGGGAATTGTCCTGGAAATGAATGGGCTTGTACCTGTCAGCTCGGTCCCTGCGGGTCGGCCTCTCCATTACCAGTGAACACTAGCCCTGGCCCACAACTCTTTAGTACATAGAAAAAAGATGAGCCTGTCTGGGTTTAAAACAATCCACTGTAGTAACAGTGCATGTGCTTAAAATATACTGTGAAAAAAGGACTATTTTAAGGTAGATTTTTTAAAACCAACTAATCTTTTTGGGCAACTGGGGACCAGCCTGCTCAAGAGGACAGTTCACCCAAAATTGTACTTAATATTGACTCTCACTCAAGTGGCTCCAAACCTTTATGAGTTTCTTTCTTCTGTTGAACACAACGGGAGATATTTTGAAGAAAGCTGAAAACCTAAACATTGATTTCCATAGTAGAAAATACAGATAAATGGAGGTTGCAGATTGTCAACTTTTTTCAAAATATTATAACCAAGAAACAAAGGTGCCTAAAAGATGACAGAATTAAGAATTTTGGGTAAACTATCTCATTAAATGTTTTCATTCATTCATTCATTTTCTTTTCCGTTTAGTCTCTTTATTAATCTGGGGTCGCCACAGTGGAATGAACCGCCAACTTATCCTGCACGTTTTTATGCAGCGGATGCCCTTGCAGCCGCAACCCATCCCTCGGAAACATCCACACACACTCATTCACACTCATACACTATGGACATTTTAGCCTACCCACTTGACCTGTACCGCATGTCTTTGGACTGTGGGGAAACCCACACGAACACAGGGAGAACATGCAAACTCCACACTGAAACGCCAACTGAACCAGTTGAGGCTCAAACCAGTGACCTTCTTGCTGTGAGGCAACAGCACTGCGTCGCTAAGTGTTTTCAATCATTTATTTTATCCTCAATATAATTAATGTTTGTTGCTTGTTTTTTTACCACATGAAATGATTCATGTCAAATACAAAGTTTTTGTTCATCATTATGCAAGCAAAGGATAAGTTGTGATGAAGAAAATGGTCACTTTGTAAAATTGCCAACTTTTCAGCTTAAATCATGTAGGTAAACACAATACCAGTGGCCTTTTGAACTTTTATGTTTTATCATATTGTTGATGCGGATATAATAAAGGCCCCATCTATAAAAATTGACTGTTTAACCTTTAAGATTTAATATTTAGTCATTTTAAGAGTTAAAAAAAACTACAAAAAAAGTAATAAAATAAAAAGCAGACAAAAAAGTTGTTTCACAGTTTAATAAACACTAAAAAAGTTCACTACTGCATATAAAATATACATTTTAAATTTTAGGATATTTGATTTATATCGGATGTGCTACAAAAACTTTCTACAATTTTTAACATTAACTAAATATCGCTTAACTTTGTGTCTGAGATGATCCTTATTGGTTCTCTTGTGTGAAATCAAAGTGCTGATTAACATTAAAACAACATAACATTAAAACAAGTAGACATATTCTGACAAATTCCCGGTGGGCCGGTCCGTTTTTTGGCCGTGAGGGCCGGTGTCCCTAGCTCCAGAATTTGTTGCTCTCAGCAGTCACACTTTTTAAATCAATTAATTTTTTTACTTGACCACAGTCTTCTTATTCATTATGTTACTGCAGCTCTGCTCTTTTTATATTTGTCTTTTTTTATGTCATCATCAGCCTGCAGGTTAATGATGATATAACTCAGACGAGCCATCTCCTAATTCACAGCTGTTGTGGTCCAGTAGTTTGCACGTTAGGTTATGACGCTGCGGACCTGGGTTTGATCCTCGTCTGAGTAGTTTTCTTTTTTTATATTTATTTATTTATTTATTATTGTTAAGACATAATACTGTTAGGGTTGTTGAACATTTGAAGTTCTAAAATGACATGATAGTGTAATTAGAAACTGAATTGGAAATGTCCTTATTTTAATATAGTCAGTCGTGAACTGAGGTGGGCCGGTCTGAGGGTAGAAACTCCAGGGCTGAAAAGAAGTCCCACTCCGGTCCTGTTCTGACTGCAGGAGGGTAAACTTGATGGGTTTATAGAACAGCTTTTATTCACTTACCTCATGAACTTTGATTTGTTTTTTCTCTCTTAACATTGTATATTGAGTCCGTTTTTAATAGTATTTAATAATGGCCAAGCTGTGACCTCAAGGCCTTATTTGGGGACTAGTTTGGGATGACTTTGTTAACGGCTTAAAATGTTGATTGTGCACAGAGATACTACATTTTATTCTGTAATTTGTTTATAAATCAGTTGATCACTATAAAACAGTTACAGTTTTTAGATAAACCCTATTTGTTTCTAATTAAAAAGGTCCCATATTGTACTCAATGTAAAAGAAATATGTAAATAAGCTGTTACTGAAAAAAGAAATGCAGTTAAAGACAAATTATTAGTCCGCCTGTATTATTATTAATCTATTTTTTTATTTCAAATATTTCTGAAAAGAAGTTTAAAAGAGCAAGGATGTTTTATTTCGGCTAGAATGAAAGCTGTTTTAAATAAAAAATGAAAAAAATAAGATCAATATTATTAACACCCTTAAGCACTATATATATTTTTTCAACTGTCTACAGAACAAACCATCATTATACAATGATTTGTCTAATTAACCTAGCTAAGCTTTTAAATTGCACTGAAGCTGAATACTAGTATCATGAACAAATATCTAGTCAAATATGCACTGTCATCACGGCAAAGATAAAAGAAATCAGTTATTAGAAATGAGTTATTAAAATTATTATGTTTAGAAATGTGCTGAAAAAGATAATTCAGGTAAACCGAAATGGGGGTAAATAAACAGAGTGGCTAATAATTCAGGAAGGATAAATATTCTGACTTCAAATGTATGTAAATCAGTTTTATCAACAATGTTTCTATCTTTCTCTTCTGTTTCCAGTTCATTTTTTAAGGCCGACGATGACGATGCTCCCATCAAGCGCTGTCCCAAATGTAAAGTCTACATCGAGCGGGACGAGGGCTGTGCACAGATGATGTGTAAAAACTGCAAGCACGCTTTCTGCTGGTACTGCCTGGAGTCTCTGGACGTGAGTGCAGAATATCTCCACTTAACATGCTCAACATCACGCTGCTATCGTACTGTATTTTTTGCGGTCAATGTGCATGTTACTCCTTCGAGCATGGCTATGAATGCAACAGTGTCCTTCACGCAGCTGGTCTGAACACCCACATAGATAATGACCGGCCTGTCGTAATGTTGTGTGTTTGACAGGACGACTTCCTCCTGATCCATTATGACAAAGGACCCTGCCGGAACAAATTAGGCCACTCCAGAGCCTCCGTCATCTGGCACAGAACACAGGTGGGAGCTCACGGGAAGAAGCACATGTTTTTTTCTCTCCCTTTTTTCTGTGCCGTATTCAGAATGAGCATTCGTGCACATGCAGTTACACGTGACCAAGTCCATTCAGACACAAGTGTTTATTCAGGAAGGACATGTTTGTCTGTTTCCAGCAGGTGATACCTGGTGTTTCATAGCAGATGATAGTGCGAGACGATCACTTTGGGAAAAATTTGCTAACATTATTCATGAAATGATGGACAACAGAAGTGTAATCGGCTGTATATTTGGGTTTGCATTTAGATGAGCACAGTTTAAAAGGCCAATTCGGGTATTTTCATCTAGCTTCATTTGCATCTGTGTTTCATTTATATTTTATATTTTGAAAATTATTTGTCGAGAGAGATTTTTAAGGTTTATTTATTTATTTAAATTTCTATTGTATTGCATATACAGTATAATGACTATTTAAATGAAAATGGAATGAAATGAGTGTCGGTGATTTGTTATTTTATTTTAAGGTGTCATTTTGATTAGCAGTTATACATTTAAAGAGCCCCTATTATGGGTTTTTGAAATTGACCTTCCATGCAGTGTGTAACACTGGTTGAAATCTGAAAATGCACTGTTTAAGCTATTGATTCTTTAACGAAATAGTCGACTTGGAGTCAAATAAATGAATCGTGTTGGGTTTGGATCACCAAATATGTAGTGCCAGATCTGGTAAAACGTGAACGTGCCTTTCCCTTCGAACACAGTGATGCCAGGATTACGGGATCACTGACAGATGGAGATTCGGCTGTGGGGAATAAAAGGTTAAAGTTCATTTGCACAGCAATACCAAAGTATAGCCAACCTAGTGGTGTGTTTGTTCCTGTCATTTTTCTGTGATTCGTCGGCTGTTTGCTATTAAATGAAGGAGCAGCAGAGATTTATATTTAGAGTATGTTACTTTGTCAGACTTTGACAGGGACTTTGTCAGTTACTGTTACAGTTCATATGGACCAGTTTCTTCTTCCTCCAGATCATAACATGTAAGTGTAATTAAAAATGTTGCCTCGTTTTCTGTAGTTTGCAAAATATGTATTTATTTGTGTGTTTAACTTGTAATCGCTCGGTGTGGCTTGTAATCACGTATTGATCAGTGCTTGTACTGTATCTCTCAGGATAAATCTGTACGGGGCTATTTACATTGCGGTTAAAACCATGTAAAAAACTCTAGCTTCTTTTTTTACTGATTTAAATGCGTTTCTGAGCGTGTGCTCCTCTGTCGTTTGTCTTTGCTATGGCTACCATCAGCATCATCATCTCATCTGTGCTCTCACATACTCTACTTCATAGCCGTGGTGGGCGTTTCTCTGTCTAGCTCTGAACCCAGTCGACCAATAACAACAGACTAAGTCCTCATACCAATCACAGCAGATTGGCCTCACGCAAAGGAGGGGCTTGGGAACGAATTAATCGCTGACCAAATCAAATGGGAGTCAATGGGATAATTAGGTAAAAATAAATGCATATTAAAACACATTGAAAATGTTTTTTGAACTTGCATGCATATCAGCCTGTCGTTGGAGACCCCATAACCAAAATATGACCTTTTATAATGTAAAATAGAGACTCTTTAAAGAAATGGAAATGAAAATTATGTCATCATTTACTTAATCATGAACACAGAAGATGCTATCTTGAAGAAAGCTGGAAATCAGTATATGGGATCAAAATCTTTTTCACCTCCGCTCTTGTTCCCATGTTCTACGCTTACGTTTCCAAAAGATGCAATTTAAGTTTCATTCAAACAAAATCCCTTTAAGGCAAGTGATTTCACTTGGCGGTCATCTTTGAAACACCTCTCTTGCAGTATGCTCAGGCATTCTGTTTGAATGGGGAAATAATTGCTTTCCAAGCTTACGGTTAATATTCATATTAGGAATCACCAACAACATTAAACAACAAGTCTCTTTAGTTTTATTTTGAATCAAACTAAATCTGCAGATCTTCGATCACATCTCGTCCGAGCCCCAGAGAATCAGCAGTCTATTGCATTGATTGGCTGCTGTACTAGAAGGCAGGGCTTCATTCACGATATTGACCGTTACACTTTCCCCCATTCGATACTATACAAGTGACAAGTCTTGTGTATTCTAAAGTGTTTGATATAAATCACAGATGGGCTTCAATACTATCATTGGGCCACTAGTCGAAATTGACAGTTTCTCTTCCAGCCACTCAGAAGAAGGGGGAGTTGTGGAAAGGGGAAAAGACCATAAGCTGAAAAATCATTTTAGATTTTGTCTAAACACATTTTCATTTTGATTCACACTCATTATGTTTTGGTACGCAACCTCGTTGTTTCTTATTCTGCATTAATAATCATTCATTGTCTTGTCGGCTTAGTCCCTTTATTAATCCGGGGTCGCCACAGCGAAATGAACCGCCAACTTATCCAGCAAGTTTTAATGCAGCGGATGCCCTTCCAGCCGCAACCCATCTCTGGGAAACATCCACACACACATTCACACACACACTCATACATTACGGACAATTTAGCCTACCCAATTCACCTGCACCGTATGTCTTTGGGCTGTGGGGGAAACCGGAGCACCCGGAGGAAACCCACGCGAAGGCAGGGAGAACATGCAAACTCCACACAACTGAGCTGAGGTTTGAACCAGCGACTCAGCGACCTTCTTGCTGTGAGGCGACAGCACTACCTACTGTGCCACTGCCTCTCCTTGCGTTTATTCTACACGCAATATAAATTTTTTGATTTACGATTATTATTTTTCCATCTGTGACTGCGATCCCATACAAGTAGCCATTGACTTCCATAGTATAGTTAGGTTTTTTTTCATACTACGGATGTCATAAGCTATTTTTAGACTGCGTAAAACTGGAAAATCCTATAAAACATTTGTGAATAAATCACCGTTTCCATCCATCGAGTAGAAGAGGACTAAACTGTGACTTCTTGATTTATTAGTGCTAAATATTAAAAAGAAAAATAGAATTTGCTCATTTATTTACAGCACTCTTACAGCACTCGTTAAAATATCTTCTCATGTCTTCAACAGAAGAAGTTAATTAAATTTTTTTGGTGAACTATTTCTTTAAGAGGGCCGAAAAACATAATACTAAGGAAACAACCTCCAGCTTGGGTTAAAGGCACTTACTAATATTTTTCAGTGTAGGGTTCATTAGACGCACTGTCCATAATGTATTTCTTAATAGCTTTAAAGAAAATACATTTTCTTACGGTTCAGACATCAGCACAAATAGCGCTGGGAAAAACAAAGCCTTTATGCATTGTCATTAGGAATTGAGAGATCATAATATGCAGACAATGCTGTTTTAAGCATACTTCATTTTCTCATCTTCATTTTGAAAGATGACTTAAAGCTACATTAAGAATGTTAAGTTTATAGCATGTTCTTTATGAAGTTGCATCATCTTACAAGAACAGCTTTTTCTCCATACTGTGTTTCTCTGCATACTATAATATGCAGATTATATATATATAATATATATATATATAAATATATATATATATATATATATATATATATATTTATATTTATATGTGTGTGTGTGTGTGTGTGTGTGTGTGTGTGTGTGTGTGTGTGTGTGTGTGTGTGTGTGTGTGTGTGTGTGTGTGTGTGTGTGTGAGTGTGTGTGTGTGTGTGTGTGTGTGTGTAAAAATTTAACAACCTATTCTGTCATGGATTTCTTAAAAGATATGCTGCATATGTGGATAAAAACTATAAATGTTAGTAATCTTGATACATTTTATTCTAATTTAAATTCTGAAAATCCTTTTCATGAATATAAGTGAATAAAACATAATGAAGTGAAATAAAGTGAATAAAAAAGTAATCTTAATGGTAGTGGCACAGTATAAAATTTTTTAATATGATCATTAACTAATACTTTGGGACTTTGTATATTGAAGATTCTTTATAAGATATATTTCTAATATTTAGTGAGCATAAACTATCGTTACTCTGAATTACATTTTTGAGTCTTTGGTAAATCCTAATATGACAGAAATGAAAATCAGCACTCTCTAACATTTACAATGTCAAATGTAGTTGATTTACTCGTTGCTTTTGTATTTATTTATTTTATTAATTGTTTAATGTTATTAAAAAACTATTTGCAAAATACTAGAAAAAATATTAATAATCTAGTTCTTATTTTAGGTTATACTTTGTGTACATAAATAGATTCACTCATAAAGAGAGAGAGAGGGGGAGAGAGAGAGAGATAGATAGATAGATGGATGGATGGATGGATGGATGGATGGATGGATGGATGGATGGATGGATGGATGGATTGATGGATGGATTTATTTCTATATGAATGGATGAATAGATGGATTAATTTATTTATGGATGGGAAATGGATGGATGGCTGGATGGATGATTGATTGATTTATGGATGGATGGATGCATTTATTGTATAGATAGATTTTAAGGTGTAATTTTGATACCCATCAACCATTGAGTTTAAGATGTTTCTTCATTCACACACTCATTTCACACGCTGTGAACAGATTGTAAAAGGTAAGATGGCCCTGAAACTATACGAGAGCATTCAGTACTTCAGCACAAAGACATGTGTTGCTCTGCAGGGAAGACTGAGTCATAATACGCTTTATAAGGGCACCACGGCTCTGCTCTGGCCCTATGAGTTTGTATTTGTTAGCTCTGGCAGCAATAGAAATCGCATTCTTTATAAATTAGTAAAGACGGAGCTGCAAGGCTGAGCGAGTCCTGGGTTTGAGCCTCAGGGTTTGCTTCTCAACATTCTTCTCATGCCAATCCACACTAGAGCTGTGTAGAGAAATGCAGAACAGAAATAGTGGTTTCATTCATTCATTTATTGTTCCTTTGGCTTAGTCACTTATTTATTAGGGGTCACCACAGCGGAATTAACCGCCAGCTATTCCAGCATATGTTTTACGCAGCAGATGCCCTTCCAGCCACAATCCAATAATGGGAAACAACCTTACGTGTTAGTGGTTTCCCATTTTCTCCATGATAAATGTGTGTGTGTGTCATCCAAGGATGCTGAGGAGATTCCGCATGAAAAAAAAGACATCGGTTTTATTCTATTTAGGCAGCTCAGGACTCAGGATTGTTTTACATTCAGAGAAATCAGAATTTTCATGGTTGCAGTGATGTGAAATGTGTGTGAATGTTTATATATATAGCTCACGTATAAGATGAACTCAATTATAAATTGTTAGGATCTGATGCCCCTGTGTGGTGGTGTTTGATGTTACAGTAGCACAGTTCTGCTGTTTTGTTTTGTTTTCTGCAGAATTGCAAGAAAAAAAAAAGTGCATATCTTACAATTACAAATCTGTAGATCAAAATACAAACTCACGATTCAGACAAAGGGTTTAAATAGTTTAAAAGTAAAAACAATTAGCAGAATTTTGCATTGAAAAGTTGCAATTGATTGATTGGTTGGTTGGTTGGTTGGTTGGTTGGTTGGTTGGTTTATTGATTGATTAATTGATTGATTGCCACACTAATGGGCTTCTATAGAAAAATGTTATCACTCCCATTTATTTAGTGTGTAACATTTTTCTAGGCGAATATAAGACAACAATGATTTTGAATAGTACCAAAATCCCTATCTTTAAAAACGCTTCTTGGGCAATTTGCTCGGGCATTCTGTTTTCCAAAGTTCTCCATACTGTTCGCCAAGCTTACGATTACATTACATATTTGAGTGGCGGATTTAGGCATGGGCAATCTCCCAGGGCGGCATCTTGCTATGAGCGGCATAGGGAGACAAAAAAAAAAACATGCGCACAGAAAACTATTCTGCGTGCCTCATGTGCTGCTCCTGCCATTGTTTACATGCACACAGATAAAATATGTGGCACTCATGCATTGTGAAACTGGAATAAAGGCCTTTTCTATAAATTTTATGAAACAAGGTGGTGACACGCAGCGAGTTTCGCAAGTTGACACACAGAATCTTATATTATGATGTTGATCTTATTTTGACTAAGCATGGCTATGAAGCAAAAAGGAGGGATAGAGTAAGGTGGGTAAGCCTTGATAACATTTATTCTGGGCCTTGATTCGGGTTTAAGATGAACAGATAATTATTTATATATATATATATATATATATATATACACATTTAGTTTCTAAACATTTGAATCAAACAAAATCAGCATATTTTCAGGTTGCCCAAGCTAATGCGCTCGAAAAAACAAGATCATGACACCAACCTCATTTATGGTTACATTAATACATACATACATTATCGTCCTCTGAATGATGATTTTCTGATCATGCTGCTCTTCTGAAGTAATTTTAAACTTGGTCTTGATGGCGAATTTCTTCCAGAAATGACAGCAACACTTTATTTACAAGTTTGTAGGCGTTTAAGCAGTTGCTGTCATGTGATGTGCACTTGACAGGGTGAACTGTACCTTGCGTTCGTTTCATACAGATTACAAAACAGGTTTCAAGCTTTATTTGGATATATTTTTGTGTCTGTAAAGCAAGTATTTGCAGAGATTTCATAAAAAGGTGTTTCGTGTTTTTTTTTTTCGTAAAAACACGTCTGGTGTGATCTTTTCCCCTCCGGAGAAAACCACAGTTTATAGTGATCGATGAAGGCGGGGCTTTATTCGCCATGTTGAACATTACACTTTTCCCCATTCAAAACTACACTGTAAAAAAAATCTGTTATTTTACGTTTTTTTTTTCCCGGCTGCTGGAGTAAAATAACGGCCGTTAAATTACAGACTTTCCTGTAAAATAACAGACAGTAAATTAAAGAAATTGACTTAAATTTAAATTTCCGATAAATTTCTTTAATTTACTGTCTGTTATTTTACGATAAATGTTTACAGTTTAACAGCCGTTATTTAAATTTTTTTCCCTGCATCGTAAAGTAACAGACTTTTTGTACAATGTATGCAAGTGACAGATCTTGTGTATTCTATAGTCTTTGTTAGTACTAAACGTTTGTAAAAATTTTACTTGCTGTGTTTCAACTTATTACCTCAGCATGTTTCAAGTTGTTTTAATGTAACGCAAGTTCAAGTAACTTGTAAGATTAACTTGATTCAACTTCTCGAACACTTCTTCTGAAACCTTCTCATCTGCTTCTCCTCAGGTTGTTGGTATCTTTGCTGGTTTTGGCCTGCTCTTACTGGTGGCCTCTCCGTTCCTGCTGCTTGCCACACCATTCGTCCTGTGCTGCAAGTGCAAATGCAGTAAAGGAGACGACGACCCTTTACCCACCTAACATACCAACACCGGTGGTCCCTGAACGAGGAATTTGGCTCATCTCCTTCAAACGTTTTTCTTTTCCTCCTCCGCCTTCGAGCTCTTCATCAACCGGTGGGCATCTCACGCCGCGGGTTAATATCACAGCTAGCTGAGTAGGCTCCATCCCGACAGGCCTGAAGAGACTGGAGGAGACGTACCGAGCCTGCCGCTTGCTTTAGGTGGAGGTATTGGAGAGCCGGGGGCTTCACTGACAGCGCCCTCCACAGGACTGGAGGAGCGCAGCGGCGCTGCTCCATCCGGCCGCTTGTCTGTTTTCTGGATGTTTCGCATATGTGGCTCTTTTGGAGGGTTTCTGTTATGCAGAAAATATTTTCAGTGTGGTGTTTGTCTGTTTTCTATGTGAATAGTAGCATTTCAGTCACACAGCCTGGTCTTTGTTATTTGTTTTGCACAAATAAGGGGCTTTTTTGGTCACTTTAAATGGTCTTGAGTTGACTTTTTGGCTCAAGTGTACAGTTAAGATCCTAGTTTAAATGTTTTAAGGTGAGACACTGCAGGCAAAAAAATCTTTTTGGCTTTCCATAGTGTTTTTAGTCTAATGAAAAGAAAACACAAAATACATTTTGCACTTTTAAATTTGTGATTTTAATTATGATACAGATGTTTAAAATCTGTTGTCTTAAAAGGATTTTTCCAAAAATCACCACTTCAGCAGCACTTGGACAGTTAACTTTTTTATTTAGGTCTGTATTCTGTAAGTTTTTACAGAGGGATTAGTTTATACGCTGTAAAAATGCTGGATTCACTTAGTCCCTTAATGTTGTCCCAACACAAATTGATTCAATTAACTTAATTGTTTTTTACAAATTGAAGTGGATTGAACATAAAACAGTGAAATTGTTAAAAAAAAATTAAGAATTGTGTTTAACCTCATTTTAAACATAATCTCATTGAACATTTTAGTGTACAAAAAGGAGGGGAAATTATTTTGAATAAATAACTCTGATATTTTTTAATTATAGAATGATAAAAAGAGTTGCCAATATCCCCTCTTTAAAAGCCATTGATTCTGTGTAAAAGATGAAACTATTCAAATCAACCGAACAGTCAATGTTTAGATATTTTTGCTAAGCCTTTAGCAAATTTAATGAAATAATACCACTTTAGCATGTTTCAACTTAACATTTTTGAAAACTTGCCATTTTAAAAAAAACTATTCGCGTTAATTATAATCAACCAACTGCAGGGAAGTATGGCGATAACTATTAATGAAATTGTAAACCCCATTTACCTGCAGTGTCTTGCCTTATTAGCAAAAGTTTGCATTTGAATTTCTTTAAAAGGCACTTTTTTGTCTTTAGATATAAAACTTCAGATAAAGCTAGTTTTATTTGGCAGAATTTAGCTGTTGATGTTGTCATCAGGGGATGATATTTGCCAGTGATATTTCTCTCAGTGCACTTAAACCTTTTTTAGACTTCAGATTGAGTCACTGATGTCCCTGCATTTAAATAGAAATATGATTCCAAAGCAGGACTTTTCTGTGCCAAATATTGACCCATTAAAAGTGTCACAATGACACTTTCACTTGATCCAAACACCCACACTACTAAATGCGAACTTTCAAAACCCTGAAACCAAATAAAACACTTTTTTTTTGTAGCTAACGTCTCTCATTTTTAGTCTTTTACATTTTATTTACATTTTAATGTTTTTTACAGATTTGTTTAGGGTTTGTTTGTACCTAAATGTTGTTTTTGCTTTGTTTTTAATCTAAATCTATTTTTTTGTTCATTTAAAAAAATCTTTTTTATTAAATTAGTTTTTCTTTTTGTAGCTAAAGTTTCTCTTTGTTGTGTTTTTTAATAATTGTTGCTAAAGTTAAACCCCTCATTCATTTTCTCTTGTAAAATGTAAGCACATGTCTGAGATTTGGTCGTTTTGTATTTCATTTTTGTCACAGACAGTTTAAAACATGCACACAGCTTGTATCTTTCACATCATTTCAGATTTTAGTCGCTATACTTTTTTAATGGATTATATGATGATTTCAAGACTGTTTGGCTTAAACATATTTACAAGTCTAGCACTGTATCTATGCAAGTTCATATAACTTGAAAAAAAAAAGTCTTGAACTGAATGATTGTCATGAACAGGTTAGTATGTAGTAGTTAAAAGGACAAATATGTCAGTTTATGATTAAAACTGAGTTGATCAGTTTCTGAAAAGCCATTTGCAAATACTTCTTTGAGTCAGTAGACTGGTTTATAGACAGAAAAATGATACTGAATGTCAACATCTTGCCTGCATTACCAGAAATAACAAGCACATGTAAACAAACAAAAAAAATGTTGTGCCATCATATGTAACTGATAAATATTTAATTCAGAGCACCTGCCATATGTGTGTAGCTTGGTAATATGTAGCTCATTAGGTTTCCTCTGAATCCCCTCACTAAGTGATTTTGAATCAATTATTTTATTTTTTATTTCCGTCCCATGTTTCATTTATGTTATGTAACAAAAACGTGCCATGTTGGTGGTTGATTTGATAAAGTGAATGTTTTCTCTTGTAATACAATATTAATTCCACCATTAGAATCTCACAGTATTCATTAAGCTGATTTCTGATGTACATATGATGTTAATCGTGTCCATCTTATGGTAGCAGCCTGCATTATCCTGTTTTAGCCTTAACGTTTTTGAGCACCTCACTGGTTTCTTCTCCTGTAGCCTGTTTTTTTTTTTTTTTTGTATGTATTTATCCTCAGGTTCTTTGAGATTACTAATGTTAGCACTTTTGTGTGATGTTTAAAGGTCTACATCATTGGTCTCAAACTCAATTCTTGGAGGGCCGCAGCTCTGCATAGTTTAGCTCAAAGGTGTTCAAACTCTGTCCTGGAAGGCCGCTGCTCTGCGTTGTTTAGCTCTAACTTCCTTCAACACACCTGCCTGGACATTTTTGTATACCTAGAAAAAGCTTGAACAGCCAGGTCAGGTGTGTTTATTAGGGGTTGGAACTAAAATATGCTGGAGACCGACCTTCCATGACTGAGGTTGGGCAGCCCTGGTTTAGCTTCAGTCACCAACAACTCTCAACTGCTTAATAGTCTCTAGTAGTCTTGAACACCTTGATTAGTTGGATCAGCTGTGCTTGATTAGAGTTGGAGCAAAACTGTGCAGAGCTGCGGCCCTCTAGGAATCGAGTTTGAGACCTGTGGTCTACGTTTATGCTTTATATTCAGTTAAATGTTGTACGTGAAATGGCCATGGTATAGAGTAGGCTAATAACTAAATATATGTTGCTACATTTTTTGTATGTGCATCTCAATTTTGAACATTTGGCTTTGGCTTGTGGTCATACTTTTATATCTGCAATCACCAAGCTTGACAGTGCCGTATATTTTTTAGATCATATAAATCCTTTAGAGCATTTAATGCACCTTCAGATCTTCATCTAGCTATCACTAGTGAAGCCTAGCAACTAATCTTTGACAAGCTAAGAAACTGTAAATCTTTTTTTCAACATGTTAGAAACATTCTAATTTACATGCTAATTATGAGTTAAATGTGCTAGCAACATGTCACTTCATGCTTTGCTAAAACAGAAACTTTTTTATTTTATTAGGATAGATAAAATGCAAGTAAATAGCTAATCATCATGCATCATGGTATTTTATGGTAGATAAATGCTACGATGTAAACATTGTGCTAGAAGTGTTCTAAAAATTACAAATGCTAACATGCTAATCATGTTAGTAGGCTAAATTATATTTATATTTACATGTTAATACTTGTTAACATTAATCAAGCTTGAGACATGTTACTAGTGCCATGTAACCATGCTAGAAACATGTTCATTCCTGCAAACAGTGTTAAACATGCTCGCAGCATGTCACTTCATGCTAGTACTTTGCTAAAACACTCTGTTATTAGGCTAGATAAAATGCAAGTAAAAAATGCTAATTCATGCTGAAAATGTTAGCAGCATAATTAGATAAATGCTAACAACGTAAATGTTGTGCTAGAGGTGTGTAAAAGTTATCATGCTAATCATGTCAGTAAATTAGATTTATGCTGACATGTTAATTCTTGTTAACATTAATATGTTGCTAGTGCCATGTTAGCCATGCTAGAAACAAGTTCATTCCTGCTAACAGTGTTAAACATGCTAGCAACAAGTTAACAAAATGATAAAGTGTTGATTTATGTAAAAATAGTGTTTAAACATGTTTAAAAATCTGTTAATTCATCATAATTAAAGAGGCATGCTAACAACCCATTAAGCCGTGCTAGCACATGAAACAGGCTAGAAACATGTTTTACATATAAGCTAGGCTTTCTAAAGTTAGTAAACCAGTAATTAAGCAAGTAGCTAATTCATGCTAAAAGCGTTAGCAACATGGTTATATTTTTTAGCAACATGGTAATTCATGGTAGATAAATAATGATAATGATGTAAACATTGTGCTAGAAGTGTTCAGAGAATTACAAATGTTATGATGCTAATCATGTTAGTAGGCTAAATTAAATTTATGTTGACTTGTTAATTACTGTTAACATTAATCATGCTTAAAACATGTGGCTATTGTGCCATGTTAATCATGCTAGAAACATGTTCGTTCCTGCTAACAGTGTTAAACATGCTAGCAACATGTTAGCAAAATGATAAATTGTTGATTTATGTAAAAAATAAATCAATGTGTTAAAACATGTTAAAATGTGTTAATTTATAATAATTAAACACACAAGAGGCAACATGTTAAGCCATGCTAGCACATGAAACAGGCTAAAAACATGTTTTTACATATAAGCTAGGCTTTCTAAAGTTAGTAAACTTACTAAAAGTTAGTTAGTAAGCATTTGCTGGTAAGGTATGTTTTAATGCTGGTCTTGCTGGTTTAATGTTGTCTTGCTGGTTTAATGTTATCTTGCTGGTCCTGAAATCAGCAGGACTAGTATCAAAACGTAAAAACATGTACTTTTTTTTCTTTAGCAGTGTATTCAGTCGGCATCCAGTACTCATTTTAATCAGCAACACGTGGCCATTTCATGTAGAACAATATGAGTTCAAGCTTCTATATATTTATGTACATGTGAATATTGACAGTTGTGCCATGCAAATTTTTAAGACATCGATGAGGGAACTTTTATTTTGACAGGATATATGTACTCAAAGCGGATCTTTGATGTTTTATGGGCTACTGTATACATTCAGCTTATTGTGTTTCATTTGACTGTTTTGTTGTTATACTCAACTTGATGCTCATTTTATGTTGTATAAAGATATTTTTGTTGTACATTATAATCATTTCCTTACATCAGGGTTATTGAATTTGTATTATTGGATGTTTATTCAGTCAAGTGTTGTTTTTTGTTGTCTCCATTTGGGTTGCGTCATGCTTGTTTGAAATGCCATTTGTTCCTACAGTAAACCTAATTTGAAACAACTGAAGCTTTACATGTAAATGATCCCACAAACAGCCAAAACCTAGTGTTCTTGTTTGTAATAGTTTACTTACACAAAAAAATAGCCTTGCAAATTTATTTTTGTATTTCCAGGTTCAGCTTTCTGCAAGCTCTTAGTTATGAGCAAGAATTCGAAAAGTGCTACAGTGGTTTGTTTGTCTTTCACTCTTGGCGTTTACCCATTCCACATAGTAATCGTTATTTTACATGTTTTGACTCGTGCCCTTTTGTTTAACTTGACTTTTAGGATTTTTAGGGACCTTTGCCATTGCTTTAAAAGCTGGTTTTGCCTTTCACTGTTCTTTCAATGGCCTTTTCAGTGTGCCATTTGTTTGTTTTTGATGTTGTATTCTCTGAAAACCACAACCAAATTCCACTTGTACAGTATGTAAATTTGCATGTATGTGAATCTTGAGGAAAAAATACAACTATAAAAATCTTGTATCGTGTGTGCCTCTTTACTTTCTTTTAAATTGTATTCATGTTCATCATTTTCCGTTTTGTTTACATTTTCATTTTTGTTCAAATATTCATTTCCACATTTTTCTTCGGCTTGGTCCCTTTATTCATCAGGGCCCGGTTTTTCAAAAGTAATCCACTAGGATTTTGGATAAGGGGTTGGATCAAATCTTGAAAATGGGTTTTTCAAAAGAAAAAACGGATTACATAATCGGATTAGATCACGTAATCCAATCTTGGTTTTGATCCGGATCAAACCCCTAGTTTGGGTTTTTCAGACCTTTTTTGTAGGATTTGGATCACTTTGATCCAAAAAATCTGGATTAAACTGATCCCATCAGAAGGAAGGATTTAGCGTGGATTTCATGCCCAAATTGTAATGAAAACTTAAAAAAAAATATTAGATAAAACTATATTTGGATCATGCAGTATCTTACGAGATATACTATTTTTTATTGTTTATTGTATTATTTTTTATTTTTATTTTATTTTTATTGGTTCATCTGTCAGGCTATAGTGATTATAGGCTTTAATGTATTTAGCCTTTCAGTAGGCCTACAGCAAAATAGAAAGAGTATGGCCTCATAAAATAATTCCCCAAACAGCTGTCAAAATTTACCAAAAACAATACATTTTATTCTGTTACTAATTGATATATATATATATATATATATATATATGTATGTATTCATCACAATGAAAAATATTTTTGTGTTTAGAATATTTATCAGTGATGCATGCAATGATTACAGAATAACAAACAAAAAAAAAAAATGCAAAGAATGGCAATGCCTGATTTTTGAAATCACTTTCAACAATTGCAAAAAGAGACAGAAGTTCAGCTTCATCTGGCAAAGGAACTACTGACTCTGACCAAACTGTAGCAAACCAACACTTGAGATCTGCCTCCTAAAAAATACGCTCAGACAAGCTGCTCCCTCCACATCAGATGAGGAAGTCTGACATTATTGTGGAGGTTTCAACATTGTCTTTTTTTATTCAAAATATTTGAAACTTATTATAAATATCCTCAATGTACAGTGTTGTAGATCTCAGATGAGCGGACTGCTGGAAGAGGATGGGGTGGGGTTTTTCTTGCTTTTATTATTTATTATTATAATTATTTTATTATTTATAAAATTTTCTTAGTTTTCATTTCAAATAAACATAAATTTATATTTACCCCACACTGGCTATTCTAATTGTTGCTCTTTACATAGGCCCATCTATCCATCTACATTGTGATTGATCACTGGTAATCCAGATTTAGTGATCCTGAAAAGTTCCTATCTGGATCAGAATGATCCAATCCAATGTTGCTATGAAAAACTGGCTCAAAAAGTAAACTGGATTACATGATCACGGATTGCAAAAACGCGATTACTAAATCTGGATCAATTTTATCCGAATTAAACCTTTTGAAAAACCGGGCCCAGGGGTTTCCACAGCGGAATCAACCGCTAACTTATTCAGCATATGTTTTACACACCGAATGCCCTTCCAGCCGCAACTCAGTACTGGTAAACATCCATTCACACTCATTGTAATAATTATTTAATATTTGTTTTTATAATAACTAATTAAAAATTAAAAAATAACATAAAAACGTAATTGATAACACCATGTATAACGTACCAAATGATGATTATTATTATTGATTAATTGTTAGGGATTTACACCACAAGTAAAGAAAAGAGACGTCAAAGCACCACATAAAGAAACCTTATTTCACTGTATTAAAAGCCATTTTCATTATTTACATATATAACAGCTAATTGATAGTGAATCTGCAGATTGACTTGAATAACATTTAAATTATATAATTTTATGTATGGTATTTCATTATATATATATATATATATATATATATATATATATATATATATATATATATATATATGTATATATATATATATATACACACACACACACACACACACACACACACACATATACAAAGAAAATGATATAAAACTTACTTTCTCAATGTATTTCTCATTGGTTTGTTATTCTTCTATTTAAGAACCCTGATTTCAACTTTATGGTTTTATATTCAATGTTTCTATATTTAAGATATTTAAATTCTGCATTTATTCAAATTCTTATTTATTTTAATTCATAATATTATGCTTTAAATTTATTTTATTTTTCATCTGTTCATATTTTTTTCTAATTGTGAGATTGTTTATCTCAACAATAATAATAGGCGGTTCAATCCGCTGTGGCAACCCCTGATTAAAGGGACTAAGCCGAAAAAAAATTAATGAATAATAATAATAATAATAATAATAATAATAATAATAATAATTAGTGTTTTGATTGCATTAAATATTTTTGTAATCGTGTCGATTATTGAAAATATCCCTCTGTTTGTTCGTTGTTGTCATTTTACTTGTTTATTATGTACAAAAATAATAATAATTAAAAATTACCGTGCATAACAATAACACCGGTAGAGATTTGAAAAGGAATACAAAATAAAAGTTCTCTTTTGCGACTGGATGTTTTCCAAACGGGATGTATTGCCCTCCGAAGGGCACTTACCAGTGAAAAACCCATGGCCGCCATACTGAAGAAGCAAAGTGCTCAAAACTGCTCACCTCGAAGGGCTCGGACCGAAGGTTAATCCTGATGGACACTTCGGGCCATGATCATTTGAGCAGGGGAATTGTTTGGTGTCACACACTGCGTTAAATTCGGAAAGACTCACCCCAGTGCTCTCAATTCCCTTAGAGGGACTCTCTGCAGGGCTTAGGACATAGGGATGAACCTTTCCGAATGAAGCACTGGTGTGAAATTCAACCCTAGCCCGGAAGTGAATTTCGGTTGATTTCTTCCTCGGATTGTTTTCTCACGCAGATGTGGGTGTAAGTTGGAGTAGGTGTGTGTAGCTGAACGGGCTCGCGCTGTATATCATCAGATTCATGTATATTCAGCTGCTAGCAGTGTTCCGTCCTCTCAATATGGATATTTAAAGCTGTCTTCTGTCATGGGCGTTTAATAAGCGATACAGAAAGCGGTCGCGAATGTTAGTAAATAGCGGACAGTAACGTTGACAGCTGAGGACTTCACACCCAGAAGTGATGCTGCATCGCCAGAATGAAGCCTTGCATATTTTATTTAGTGTTGTTGGCTCCACTGTTTGCTCATTGTGCGGTGAAACCCGTATCTGTTGAAGAAGTGTCGAGAAATGAGGAAGAGCTTCAAGAGTTTGGTGAGTTTCTACGAGAAAGCGATTTGAATGTGTTCAATTAGAAAATATTGGTTTAAACTTAATATGTTGTCTTTATATATGGGATTTAATGGGGTTTGTGTTAATCAACGTGTTCGGTTTTCCTTCCTTTTCCTGTTTTGGCTCGGTCGTGACTGCTTATGTTAGTTCGTTTCCTCCAACATGGAAGTTGTTTGTGTTTGCTGATTGAATGGAAATATAGTAATGTTGTGTTCATGTTTATTTTAGTACAAACTGTGTCAGTGAATGGTCATGAATGTAAGCCTAGAGTCTGTAGTATCGATAAATAAATATTTGAAGTTTATTTGTATTGTAGTTATCACCCTAATTTACTTCCCCAATTGATTTTTTTTACGTTATGAATGGATATTTTGTTTTGTATTAGTTTTTATATATAAAATGTTATATTTAAATGTACATATTAGTCAGTTTTTCACAATTTACATACATTTCTAGCACAGAAATATAAAGTCAGGTTCTAAATCCAATAAAGGGTTTTGCAGAAGGGATTTGGGGAATCTGTTTTGATCACTCCATAATTCAGAAAATACCCTAAATAGCCAGGGGGAAAATTTCACCTTTTTGTAGAAGAAAATGTTTGTATAATCTAGCGAAGTAGGTATAAAAATTTTCTTCCTGTAAAAACCTCCAGAATACACATGTTAATAGAAATAGTAAACTTTGGTGTATGTAAAAACATGTTGTGATTTATGGCTCAGTGTAGGAGAACAAACTCATTTAGTCACCCAGCCTTTTTAAAAACTCCTAAAAAAAACTTTTTCATAGCCTAAAACCTTAAAATTGACAGGCAAATTTGAGGTGAGGTCAAAGTTATTAGCCCAAAATTATTAAATTTACATTTTTTTTCTTTAATATTTCACAAATGATGTTTAACAGGGTGAGGAAATTTTCACAGTATTTTCTATAATCTTCTGGAGAAAGTCTTATTTGTTTTATTTCGGCTAAAATAAAAGCAGATTTACATCATCAATCATTTTAAGGTCAATATTTTTAGCTCTCTTAAGCAATATTTTTTCTCGATTGTCTACAGAACAAACCATCATTAACTTGCCTAATTACTTTAATTTGCCTAATTAACCTGTTAAGCCTTTAAATGTCACTTTAAGCTATATAGAAGTGTCTTGAAAAACATGTAGTAAAATAATATTTACTGTCATCAAGGCAAACACATCAGTTATTAGAAATGAGTTATTAAAACTATTATGTTTAAAAATGTGTTGAAAAAAATGTGGGGAAAAATATACAGGGGGGGTTAATAATTCTGACTTCAAGTGTAGAATGGTGTTTACCTGCAGTGGCCCGCCTTAAATGTGTGTGTTGATTATGTTGGACATAAAGATGTATCTGTATTACTTGCTGCAGATGCGCTCAACTCTCTGCTGTCAGACTTTGAGGTCTTGCCTGCATCAGGACTCCAGCTTCACTCTGTCAGGAAGAGAGATGCTGATGCCCATTCACATGTGGAGCGGCTGGTCAGCTTCACAGCACTACAGAGGTAAAGCTGACAGGCTGCTCAGGGCAGATCGCGTGATATGATGTTATGATATTTATTGTTATTATGAAGTTTTCTGAACTGTAAAATTTATGATAGAATATCAATTATTTAGATTTTATTTAATTAAGTTTATTTATTTTTTTATTTAGTGTATTGTATATTTGTGCTGAATTTTAGTTATTTGTTTGTTCTTTTCATGTATGTTTGCATATTATTATTATTATTATTATTATTATTATTATTATTATTATTATCAATAATAATAATAATTTTTATTTTATTATTTTTCTATTTGTATATCTTTTTTGTGTAATTCCATCAATGGTTGTTATTCTCTAGACTCCTCAATTCTAAAAAATAAATAAATAAAAAATCATGTGTCATGTTTGTTAAAACGATTAATTCATTAGTTTGTTTATTATTTATTTGTATTTTGTATTACAAAAATATAACATTTGTATTTGCAGTTTTTAAAAAATATTTAATTATTATTTATAATTAGTTTTTTGTACAGAATTGTGCATTTGTCAAACTTATTTTTGTTTGACCGTTTCGGGCCTCTAAAGATTTGTGGCTGAAACTTCAAAAACACTAAATTTACCGGAAAAAAAGCTTCTTCCGTTACATTTATAGATTATAGTTTCACCACAATAACTCCATTTATTATCTTTTTTCAAAGGAACTTCAAGCTGTACTTGACAACAAACACACAACTTTTCACCGAGAACTTCAGTGCCGTATTCGTAGACGAGAATGGAAAAGAGGACCAGTTTGATGTTCAGATACAGAATTACTTTAAAGGACACGTAGTAGGTAAGGCAAAGAATGAGTTCATTGAGAACAAAAGTTTCTTGTTTGTTCATTATCATGCATTGAATCATAAATGTTTGTTGTCCAATATAGGAGAGGAGCACTCGCGTGTACAGGCACACATAGACGGGGACGAATTTTCAGCCCATATTATTACAGAAGAAACTGAATATAATGTAGAGGTGATTTGTTCATGCATGTTTCTTAGCTCATTTATACTTTTCAAGCAATTTATATTTATTTCCCAAAGTGCATTTTTACTGAGTATGTCTTGTCTTTATTAGCCCTTGTGGCGATTTACAGAGACACCTCCTGATGGCCGTTTACTAGTGTACCGTTCAGAGGACATTAAGAACATCAGTCGCCTGTCTTCACCTAAAGTGTGTGGATATGTGAACGCTGATGCCCAGGAGCTCCTGCCAGAAGAGGCAAGAGCAGCTGAAGAGATGGAAGAAATGAAAGAGGGTGTGTTACTTACAATTTTAGATTGTTTTTACAAGATTTAATGTACAGTGTTTCCAGAATGTGTCTATGAAGTTTCATCAGTTTTAAAAATAACTCGCAGATCATTTATAATATCTTTTTTTTTTTTTTTTAAACGGGAGGCAAAAATACAGTTTTCATGTGTTTTTCTTTAAATGCAAATGAGCTGCTGTTCCTCGCCCCCTTTCCAGTAGAGGGCGGAGCCTTTACAGCTTGTGCCTTGGTTACTCTGACAACAAGAGATAAGACATAATCTCTTTAAAATACTATTTTTAACCCATTTTTATTTTTATGATCTCTATTTTTAGACCCAGCAAGTCAAGTATTGCACTGTAGGAAATTTTAGTTTTTAAAATGTCTTTTCTGATTTCCCATCCATTTTGTAATAGACAAACTCTAAAATAGAATTATGCAACACCTGCTGTTAGATTATATGTGCATTATTTTATTTTAAAAACTCTAAATGCATTTTACTACTACTACTGCTATTATTATCATTATTATCATTATTATTATTATTATTATTATTATTATTATTATTATTATTAATATTATTAATATTATTATTAATATTATCATCAATGTAATACAATTGTAAATATTAATTCAAATTATATATCATTATAATATTATTAAACTGTAATTTATTATGTTAATTTCCATTTTACAATAACTAAAAATTGCATCACATTTGTATCATGACAGTAAAATTACTAACACTTTTGTCCCCTTGCTTTCAAAGGTAATATCATAGGACTGTGAAAAATGGGGGGAAAGTAATGGTCAAACCTTTTTAGCTTTTTAAAAATGCATTTTAGTTAAAGATATATTTACAAGCAGTTTTAATGATAAACTTGTGAAGATGTTTGGCGCATGTTGCATTTTCAAATACATATTAAAGTGACTCAAGTGCAAAGTAGTAACTGCATTTACTACTTATATTGCACACATTTGGCACAAAGTGTCAGTTTTAGGCCCTGATTCTCATAGCAACTAAACAGACAATAGAAACTCAGCACTCATCACATGCTCATGATGAGCGAGATGTTACTGCATGAGTGTGTGTAGGAGTTATACATTTGTCCAACAAAGGCTGCTCATTCAGGCATGTGTTCACCCAGTAGTGACCTTCTGACACAACATCTGAAAATTGTCTGGAGTCAAAACTTAATAATTCAATCCAGTAACTTCTACTTAATTTGTCCTTTATTATCAGTCCTTAAAATCCCTATTGTGTTGCTTTAGGTTGGGTTGGGTGTGTTTACATAAACAATTTTATTTCATTGGTAGATCATTTCATATTTCATAGTGCACCAGTTTTAGACAGTTTTTTTTTATTTCTGAAATGCAGAGCCTCACAACAGAGAGAGGAGATCTACACATGACCAGAAGAAAAACACTTGCACGCTGCTGTTAGTGGCAGATCATCGCTTCTACAAACACATGGGCCGTGCGGAGGAAAGCACCACACTCAACTATTTGGTGAGCAATGCAGGAGGATTATCATTGTACTTGTACTGTGCAAAAGAGTAGAGTTCTGCACTAAGAATAAGGTCAATAATACTCTACTATAATATTAGATTTAAGGGTAATTCTACTCCAAAATTAAATATACTTATCCCTTTTTAGTACCACAAAAGGAGCATTTAAAATATGCTTATGTTTTCTGTTAATGGTAGTAAACAATGTCAAGCATTAATCTTTTAATTAAAGATCAGAACATGGTTGTTCTTGGGGTTATAACATTTAGTGAAACAAACAAACTTAAATTGAGAGTTTTATTTGTTAGAGATCTTATTTATTATTATTATTATTATTATTATTATTATTATTATTATTTCCTTTATTAAGCCAGGAGATCACATTGAGAAAGTACTGTCTCATTTTCCAGTGAGACCTAGTCAAGACGGCAGGCAGCACATAAAGTTTTACACAAAACTCACAGAAAACAATACCACAAAATCACCATTCATATAAAGGTCAGATCATAAAAAACAATTACAAGTATCTGTTGTACAGAAGATGTTTAAAAGTACTCAGAGTCTGAAGTGTGTCAAGATTAAGCTGATTTTGCAGGTCGTTCCAAGGCCTAGGAGCATAAAAGGAAAAAGCACATTTGCCAAGTTCTGACAATACCCTTGGGACTGTTGACCGAATACAGGAACCAAATCTATTGTGCTGGTTATTTATGTGAATTGTTTGAAAATTAGAAAGATATGATGATAGTTTACCTAAGAGAGACCATAAAGTAAATAAGTACAAATGTAATTTTCTCCTTTTGATATAGAGATAACCAATCTAAAGGAATCATACAAAAAACAGTGATGTGTCCGTGAGTCTGCGCCTGTGACAAAGTGTATTGCTGCATGATAAACAGGAACTAGTTTTCTAAGTAGAGTAGCAGCTGCATGTATATATAGATGATCACCATAATCAATTGTAGACAAGATTGTACTGTCTACTTATTTCTTACGGGCCTAATAAGAAAAATAATTTCTGACCGGTATAAAAAACCTAATTTCGGCCTGAGCTTTTTTAAATAACGTGTCAATGTGTATATCAAAGGCTAATATCTAATCAATCCAAATACCTAGATATTTATAAGAGCTAACTGTTTCTAATGGTTCACCATTCGAATATGTAATTGTCTGGTCTGTTACCTTAGTGCAGCCATGGCTAAAAATTATATATTTAGTCTTTTTTAAATTTAAAACCAAATTTAAATCCTGCAACGTACACTGTAGTAATTGAAAAGCGTTCTGTAAATACTGTACAGCTTGGTTTATTGAGTGTGTCGCTGTATATATTATTGTATCATCTGCACACAGGTGTATTTTAGCTGAGTCTATTCCATGACCTAAATCGTTTATGTAAATAGAAAATAACTACGGAGCTAAAACAGATCCTTGGGGAAACCCCAGTGTTGAAATGAATAAAGGATGAATTACAATTTTCAACAGATAGAGCTCCGCATCGATGGATTTGCTCTTCAGTGTTTGGACTCTTAGTAGTGATTATTAAACCCCACTGAACTGAGCTAAACTGAACTAAACTTAAACACTAAAAAACTGAACTACACTGTTCCAACTATGACCATTTATGTGAAGCTGCTTTGACACAATCTACATTGTAAAAGCGCCATACAAATAAAGGTGACTTGAATTGAAAAACACAGAGTGCATTCTCAAAAATAATTTTCAAACCATTTTAGAGCAGGTTGACTAAAACCTAAAAGCCTAAGGCTCTGTAACATTAGTTTATGGTCTACAGAGTCAAAAGCTTTGGACAAATCAATAAATAGAGCAGCACAGGACTGTTTCCTGTCTAAAGAGGATGTGATTTCATTTAAGACTAGTGTAGCTGCAGTGGCAGTACTGTCCTGATCTGAACTCTGACTGGTAATCCTAAAGAATATTACTTACTGACAAACATTGTTTTAGTTGTCATTTATAAATGAGTCAAAGACTTTTGCTAAAACTGACAATCTAGAAACAAGACGGACATTAATCATAATTAATTAATAAATCAAGATAAATAGAAGTGTGACACATAGTACTTTCCATTTGCTTTCTTCTCTGAGGTGAATATAGCTGTTGTGTTTGTCAAAACAGCGAGGTATCAAACTCTTCTGTCATTCTGACCATCATCTGATTACCAGAGTTCAGTTTCAAAAACAGTTAACTCTACAGAAGAAACATACTTTTTATCAACTATTACTTTAACTATTAAAAACGGTTACTTTTGATTGAATTTTTGATAGTTTCATGTTTAATCAATATATTGATTGATCAGATTGATACTCTTATGTGCTTTTTCTGTGAAAATCGGGGTCAAAAGTGTCACAGTCAGGGTCAGGATTTTATTTATTTAATTTTTAAATCAATCCAATTTTGGTTCACCAAACTCTTAATCCCAGGACACTTGTATTACATGGTATGTGTGGCATGATACTATTTTTTGTTAGTTTAAAGAGAAATGAAAACTTTATGCACAATTATTTCATAGACAACTGCAATCGGGACACCTTTTTTCCTTTTTGAGGGACTGTATAAAAAAAAATGTTTAAAAAAACGACAATAATGTAAGGAAACAACAACTTAAATTAATTTTGTTGCTGAGTCCCCTTAAAGATGAATTGCTAAATATTTATTGAATTGATGTGTTTTGTGTTGTTTAGATCGAGCTGATAGACAGAGTGGATGATATCTACAGGAACACATCCTGGGATGATGATTTTAAAGGCTATGGTGTGCAGATTCAGCAGGTATAATTAAACTCTAACATTTTATTGTACACTACATTACAGTCTTGAAATATTTTCACACTGAAACATGACTTGTTTATGAAATCAACAGCTATGTCTGATTCTGTAAATTGAGTCTTTCATCTAAATCACTGAAATGGTTCATTAATTCACAGGAACGATTCATTAATTCACAAATCACACAACTCTTTGACTCGCAAGTTAACAATTCACTGATCTCGATAGTTATCAGCACAAAATAATTTAGTCAGATTCTCACACAAAGCTCAAAACATGGCATCAGATGATATTTTTATTATGCCTTTGCATACTTTTAAGCTTAAAAGCTCCAGTGTCTTTTTCTCTTCATAAAACTGGAACAAATTAGATGCTGTCTGAAGGGTTCTTTTAAAAACTTTTATAAAATTTGGGGATCTCTCCTTGAATATATTGAAACGGATAGTCCCTGCAATACTGGATGAATTTTATCATTTTTCACTGCTGTGTGACATTTCATGTGGCATCATGACCAGGCTTTTAGTTTAGTGTATAAACATTTGTTCTGGTTGGCTGGTTAATTTAATTTAATTTAATTTTTTTTTTTTTAAATATATAAATATACTGTATCTGGGGTTCAATAATTGTCATAATCATTTAGATCCTTGTTTACTTCTCTCTCTCAAAATGTCAAAATGTACAGTAATATTCTAAAATGTGTGATATTTGTAAATTTTTTAAAATTTCTATGAATAAAGTTGGGGAAGGAAAAAAAAACCTCCAGTGTCAATTAATTTCAGCTGCATGGAAAGACAAGATAAGAATATTATTCAAGTATTTGCTAGAAAGAAACACATTTAAGTGATAGTCCCAAAGCAACTCTCATATTCTTGATCACTGGTAGAGCTGGTGACTCAAACCAAAGAGGTCATAGCAGCTGACTCGACTCAACACAAAGAGCTTAATGTTAGATTCATCAGACCACCAAACTTTCCAGATTTTGTCACATGGATTGTAGCAACCTCCAGGTGTGGCTTAATGTTGGACTTTTCTGTAGTGTCTGTTAAAATCTGTGTTTTTTTTTTCTATTGTGACAAAATACATTTCATGCATTTTCAACTTTGCTACAGTGTAGTTCCCATGTGCTCAATGCGTGGCCTTTTATTAGCTTTTCATAACTTCATCTCAAAGTTCAGCGGGATCTATGAATGTTATCTAATATGTAAATATGCCCACAGATAATCATAAACAAGGATCCCACAAAAGTTGCCCCTGGAGAGTTTCACTACAACATGGATGGCAGCCCAACAGGAAGAAAAGATGGTGTGTGGGATGTAAAGAAGCTTTTGGAAGTAAGTGGCATTTCCCTTGAAATACAGACTGTGACTGAATCGAAAACCAATTTAATTGAAACAAGAGCTTGCAATGAGCAAAAAGGCGTTTTTTCAAATGAAAAGACATTCTGAATTTTTCACATATATCATGAGGGTATGCGTTAGTGTTTTTTTCTGCACAAAAAATAAATAACACCTCAAGCACAGAGTTAAGTAGATCTGCATTTCCCAAGTATGCTCAATAGGCATGAAATGAGCTTTAAGATATACATTTCATATGTAATTGGCCCTTCGCTAAGCCCCGCCCTCCTTAGTTACTGTTGTTATGCTTCTCAAGCTTTCGTGCCTGGCACATCTATTACAATGTGTCAGTGTCAGACATTTCCAGGGATATAATTAGTCATTTTTGGCGAATAGGTGAGATATCTGAGAAAGCCAGAAAAAAAAAGAATGGCAGCATGCATTACAAGGGTATATTCACCACATAATAGGCAACTGATTAGAAAATAATTTGATCAAAATTGAAGCTAAAGGCTAGCCACCTCATACGCTAAGCATTCAACATCTTAGTTCAGGCACAGCAGGAGAGGTGAAATTTACATATAATCTAATAATAACTAATTCAATTTCCTTTAGTCAAAAAGTCTGATAGATGAATTGTTGTGCAATGAAATATAGCATTACTAACCGACGAGGAAACACACATGGACAGTGCTTCAACATAAATCATTGTAATCATGAATCAATCAGAAAGGGGAAATTGATGGATTAACACCAAATATTAGCATCATTGACCCATAACAATGTACAGTACCCATTACTGTCAGTATGTTTGTGTGCTTTTTATACCGTTTCTATTCTAATTTGATGTTAAGTGGAAAAAATAAATAGATTGAAATGCAAATCAAGAAGCAGAAGCGAACAAATAGATTTTCCCTACCAGCAAATATTAATCCGAGACCAAATATAAAAGCAGACACTAACCCGCTATACATTATCACCAATGACTAAATCTTCAAAAGACCGACAAAAATATCTGTGAATTGTAGCTCTAACATGGAGATGAGGGATATAACTTATTGAAAAACAGCTGCGGTGAGCTATATTGATCACAAGTCGATCGCATGTCTCTGTTTTGTTCTGTTGATATGTGATTCAAATATTCGTAGCTTGAAACAGATGGAAATATGACTGGATTGTGCTGCTTTTACGACACCTCACACAGCTTGATCCACGCTGGCATTTCTTCCCTTGGGTTTTAGGTTTTGGAAAGGAAAAAAATTCCACCATCCCATCCAAACTTTTAGAATACCTCGTATTAGATTTGCACAATCCATATGCACAACACTTTGGCTTGTTTCCCTCACTTGAAAGCTTGACAGACCTCCTGCACAATTGCTACGGTTGCTAAGCCTCAATTGGTGTGTGGCAATTTTCAGGTGTGGCTTAGCGACATATATTTAACAATATTTTAAAGTTGTAGGTGCCAATAGACAAGTGGTTAAGTGTGCCCACGTATAGCACCAAGGTGCTCACTGCGACCTGAGTTCGACTCCCGGCTCGAGGTCCTTTGCCGATCCTTCCCCCCTCTCTCTCTCTCTCAATGATTTCCTGTCAATTATCTGTACTATTCTATCCATTCAAGGTTAAAACCCCTAAAAATAATTATTTAAAAAAATAAGAGAAATATTTTAAAATCTGTCTATTTAGAACAGTGTACATGTTTTAGTAATTGGTAAATAAAAAAAATGGTTTCACCCAGTGCTTAATTTGTAAATGAATATTTCCCGGAACAAAAACAAGAAATAAAGTTACAGTACAGTGATCGACATTTACTACACAATTTCAGTTTTCCTAGAACAGGACATCAATAAACAATTATAGCGCAAAAAAGCATCAGATTTCTGAACAGTCTTTTATTATTTTGTGCCATGTAAGATAAAAAAACATGTCTATAAAACAAAACACTTATCAACCATTACTCTTCAGTTTACTAACATCCCTGACATTTAGTTCACTTCCGAGTTAAAAAACCATATTAAGACTCACTTTGTCTAATCTTCGAGAAGATTCACAGTTACCTCTTCTGTCATGTTTTCTAGTCAACTTGAGATCACTTTGTTTTTGTTTTCGCTATCCTGATTCAGGGATGCAGTTTCATCTTCTTGAGATCTCTTTTGATCAGACTTATTATCAGATTTACTCCGGGTTAAAAAAATTAAATTATACTTTGACATTTTAAAAATACAAATATTATTTAGACAGGCCATTATGCCATTATTTATTTTCGCTGCTCACTCTACACAAAACAATCATCAACCAATAAGAGTGACTGTAAAAATAAGAAAGATGATTGGTTGAAAATATTGTTGTGGCCAATAATTAAATGTGACTTTTGCTTTACCTTGCGCATGGTAATACCGTTGTCTGGTATCACTGCCCGCACACACAATTCACACAGCCTTCGCTTCCACTCATTCACATTCTCTCTTCCATACTCCACACACACATGCAGGTATTCACAATGCACAAATTAATGGCGGATCAATTCAAATCAATTCCAGAATGCAATACAGGAATATCTGACATTTTCCGGATCAGGATCCGGCTTAAATTAAGCACTGGTTTCACCATAAAAGTTTATAGCAAAACCAACTGCAATGTTTTGTTTCTGAATGAATCTGTTTTCGAACAAACTAACTGATTCAGTCATGCCTTCAAATAAAGTGGTTAAATGAACAGTTCAATGAATCGCTGATTAAGACAGGGACCAAATTCTTCCAAATTCTGGCTCTTTTAGTTTATTTATTTATCCTCGACAGGCATATACCAAACAAGGTACCAGCACTAAAACACACTTCTCAGAAACCCCTGAAGCAGATCTTCACATTCTTATCTTTATTTTCTGTCCTCTTTTAGCAATTCAGTTATGACATTGCAGCAAATGCCTCTAGGGCTTGCCTTGCCCATCTCTTCACCTATCAGGACTTTGATGATGGCACTCTGGGTCTGGCATACGTGGCACCATCCAAACCAGGATTAGGAGGACTCTGCCCTAAACGTAAGCATCCCATCCATCAATTGAATTGCATTCTTCCAAAACTTTGCTTGACCTTGCACTTTAACTTCACCTTGCAGCCTACTATCCATCACAGTCTGTCAAGAAACCCAGTTATCTAAACACCGGCTTGACGAGCACCATGAACTATGGGAAAACCATTCTGACTAAGGTTTGCTTATTATATGTTCCTTTAAATATTCTGTATTCTACATATTTTTGGCAGCAGGCAGCACAGTGGTGTTTTGTCTCTCCAGGAGGCAGATCTTGTAACCACTCATGAGCTCGGACATAACTTTGGAGCCGAACATGATCCAGACAATATCGCTAGTTGTGCACCCAGTGACGACCAGGGCGGCAAATATGTTATGTATCCTATTGCAGTCAGCGGAGATCATGTGAACAACAAGGTATTATTCATTCTATTTTGGGGATGTTCTTTATGGGTTAGTTGCTTGATTTGTGCGACTCCTTCATTTATTTATTTTATCTCTTCAGCACTTCTCCACTTGTAGTAAGATCTCCGTCAGCAAGACATTAAGGATCAAGGTCAATCAGTGCTTTGTGGAGAGGAGCAGTAAGCTGTGTGGGAACTCGCGTGTGGAGGAGGATGAAGACTGTGACCCTGGACTCCTTCACATTAATGATGACCCCTGTTGCACATCTAATTGCAAGTTCAGGAAACAGGCTCAGTGCAGGTAAAACAACTAACAAATTATAAACTTGTTTATCAATTATTTTTCACCATCAAACTTTAGATTTAGATCACATTGTGACATCTCACTTTGTCAGCGGTCTTGGTTGTCGAATAATTTTTTTCTCATCCAGTTTCCCATCCAGCCACAAGAGAGTGCTATGGCAGGGTGTTCTGGGGGGAATTAAGCCTGGTTTATACTTCTGCGTCAAGTGACCGGCGTAACTCATGGTGCAGGCAACACGTGTGGCTGTGCATTTATACTTCTGCGTGCTGTCTCTGTTGGTCTGCATTAACACTTCCGAAACGCTAGTTGGCAGTGAGGTGTAAATGTTCCTCTGTGTTGAGTTTCTTCGCTTCTGTTTTGCTTTTCCTGAACACTTCCTGGTTGTACAAATGACTCAAACTCGCTCATGTTGAAGCAGGAACCGGCAGACGTGCAACAACTTTAACTATGAGGTAAACACAAACAAAACTTTCCATCCGGAGCTCCTTCACGGGACTCCACACTTGTAAACAATCGCTCGCGCCATTCGCGCGGCTCTCTGTCCCGCCCAGACTCGTCAGTGCTACCAAGCCGACCAATCACAGAGCTTGCGCTACGCGTTGTTGCGACGTGTGGTTACATTTTTTGAGAGGTGCAAGTCAGTGATGCCGACGGCCACGGCGAAGGGCTATGCGTCAGTGCCGTAGCATAAGCCGGCGTTTGACGCAGAAGTATAAATCAGCCTTTAAACAGTATTAAAAGATGATAAATCAGTTTATCATATATCATATTTTCTAGAAGAAGTGAATCATGAGAAGATAACAGACATACACGACTTAAGTGATCCACTTGCTTGTGCGCTTGTAAATCCACACGCATGCCATCTGTGCGAGCAAGATTATACCTCACATCGAGCAGTTCGCTTGCTCGCTCGGTGGCTTTTCTCTCTGCTCACGCAAAACTTTTTGGATTTTTTTGTCAGTCTTGGGGTGAGACTTGGTTTTATTGTTATTTCTAACACTATTGGGTATTCTCGCTTTTTGGAAGTTAATTGTGCGTGGGTTTACAACGAGCTCACTAACGTCTATTTCCTCATGGTGGATCACTCCCGCTCGTGCCATATCTCTTTTTTTTTTTTGGTTCGACAACAAAATGAATCTACCTAGTCAGTTATATAATAAAGAAGGTATACTCTGTTCTTACAACAAATTCCTTTCTTATTACAAAATCTCAATCTTACACAACAGGAGTTTTCAACTGTTATTAGTTCAATTCCTTCAGGTGTCCATATGTTAGAGGTATTAATCAAGACCATGCTTCTAATGCATCGTGTTTTGATCTTACTAAATCTTTATAAGATATTTATAAAAATAAATACTAAAGGTATTAATAGAGCTATCTGTACCTTTTCCAAAGAGAAATCATCACTTTAGCTTATATTTAATCTTATTAGATGTTTTTAATAAAGGGTCAACTGATTTGCTGGAAAGAAGTGTGGCTGTTACCACAGAAATATTATGTTAGAAATAAAATGTAAAAAAAAAAAAAAATAGCCTATAAACTTCTCCACAGATTTAATCCAGCAAAACATTATTTACAAAAATTTAAAAGTGGGATTGTTTTAAATTGTATTTTTTGTAATGAATATGAGGAATGTGCTTTTCCCCTTATTTTGGCATTGTGCATACTCAGTCAACTTATGGAGTGAGGTGCAAAAATGTATTAATAACAATTTTCAGTGTTCTAAACCTCTTTAATTGCTGTGGGAAAATGTTCTTTTTATCTTTACTATGTACCCTATTCTAGAGGAAAGTTGTTTTTATTTAATTCATTTACTTATTTCGCTAACAAAATGTTACATTAATTAATATAAATTTACATTTAAAAAAAAACAAAGTTTAAGGTATTAATGACTGAAATATGCTTAAATATTATAAGTATTTACATTTAAGTAAGAAAGCGCTACACATTTTAAAACTTTGTGATTTCTACAATGTATTTATTAGATTATTACTTGTGTACATTCTGTAAATTTGTATTTGATTTATACTTGCCTCCTGGCATGTATAATTTCTTTTTTTGTACTGATAAAATGTTATAAAAAAAAAAAATATATATATATATATATATATATATATATATTTTTTTTTTTTTTTTTTTTAAATAACATTTTTACCAAGCCAACCAATCACAGAGCTTGCGCTACGCGTTGTTGCTACATGTAGCTAAATTTTTTGAGAGGTGCAAGTCAGTGATGCCGGCTTCTATAATCTCACGTTTCACTTCTCACGCGTAAACATCACAGATGCACTTGATTATTTTTGGCATAGAATTGCTGTCATAATTAAGGCCCTTAAAAAGTATTAAAAATTCTTAAATGCTGTTTTCCAAGTTATTAAATTTTGTATTGTATTTTAATTATATTAAAATAGTTTAATCATTGCACTGAATTGGAATCCTTCTGGATTTGTTGTCGTCTACGTGCTCACTAACCGCTGCATTATAGAGCAGGACCTCTCTATACACACTCTGATTTTTTTCATATTTGCCTCTTTTTAAAGGGCTTCAAAATAAAGTGTCATAATAAAGATGTGGTATGCGTCTCCACTTAAAAACAAAAGCGAATGATGGCAAATTTGCCTTTTTTATTCATCATAGTCAGAGCACTTAATGAATATAGTAAATGTAATTTATAGTGTCGCTGACGTAACTGGTTAATACTGGGGATGAGGTCTTAAAATGTAAAATCTTAAATTTACTTCCATCGTTCCTGTATGGGGTCTGTGGAAATGTTTAGGAGGAAAGCATAAATATATGTATTAGGGCTGCACAGTACATTGGAAAATAATAATAGTATATGTAATATTCAATTCGGAGAGAGGTTTAATAAATAGTTTTTATTTATTTATTTTTTTTATTTTTATTTTTTTCAAGGGATACACCGGAATGAGTATTCTGGGCTCAAGATGCCCAAAGCTTGATGGCATTATATACTTGTGTACTAGCCACGAGGCTATATGCACAATTTTTCAGATGGGGCCTTACTTAGGTGCTGTTCTGCTATTGGTTAGGTGAACCTAGAGCTTATAATAAAAACTAATGATAAGAGTAGAGAGAAGGGAGGAATATAACAACAGCTAATAAGAGTCTGAATATCTGCCCAAGTTGTCATTTATAATGTCTAAATATTTGCACTTTGACAGTATTTTTAGATCAGAAATATATCCATTATTACCTGTTCATTTTAGTATGATTATTACATAATTTTTTTAAAGCATAAAAATGGCTTTTCTCTATGGAAATGTTATATCATAAGAAAACCCACTATTGTAATGCTTTTTTTCAGAAGATAAAATAAGTTACATGTACACTAACTTTAAATTAATTTTTCTTTTTTTCTTTTTCTTTTTCTTTTTTTTTTTTTTTTACCCCCAGCTCTTAATGCAGGTTTTTTTTTCTGGAGAATTACTAAGCGTTTCAACCTTTTGTATAATCTCTGTGTGAAAAGATGTCAGAATATTACATATAAACAATAAACAATATAAGGAACCTTGAAAATAACCCCAGGAAAACTAAACGAAAAAAAAAAAAACATTAACTCAGGGTAATATGTTTGTTACAATAAATAAAATATAAGAATTGTAGCTTCATCCAACCTTCCCAACAACTAGGCTGCATTTACACTGCATGGTTCAAGTGACTCAATTCTGATTTTTTTCTCCCATGTGGCAGAGATCGAATATGGCTCACGTACGTGTAAGCAGGAACAAATCACATGCATTCTGATTTACTCAAATCAGATTCAGGCCTTGTTCATATGTTATCCAATATGAATCGTATATGTGCCAATAAAAACCATAGCGAATGAAATCAACTCTGATGCTTTAATTTCAGAACAAACTTTAGCAGAGTCCCAGACCTTAAATCTCATACACGAGGACTAAAAAAGCTTTTATAATGTCATGTAGCACAAGTATTTAAGCATGTTATTGAGAGAGAGTGAGAGTGCGCAATATCCGCCACGTAACCAATATAAACTAATATAAAACTATTTGCATTAAATGCCTTAATTAAAAGAAGATGGCCAAATTAGAAGATGGCTGCCTTTCTATCATAAACTAAAGTAAAACCATGTGTCAAAAAAAATTTAAAAATGAAACCCTGTGAACAGATTAAATACAGGATATGAGAAAAGGGCGCTCTATTATTATCAGCTGTCAATCAGCACCCGCTCTTTTTTTTTCTGGTCATTGCGCCTTTGCTGTGTGCTAAATACAGACAATCAGATATGAGTCACTTTTAAAATATGTTGCTCATCAAAACAATCTGATACAAAATCAGAATTGGCTCTATGCACAGCTAAAGTTTTAAAGCCAACGATAAACTTCCTGTAAAAGCTTAATTTGACTATTTTCAAATTCATAAGGTTGTTTTACAGCATCGATGTTGTAATGTAATTAGAAAACATTCAGTTAAATAGACTTAAGCATTCATTTAGTTATTCAACAGTAAAACAAGATAAAAGTCTGTGGTAACTGCTAGCGCTGTCAGTAGCAACAAGCCAGCGCAGAAATCTCATTGAAAATACTGGGGTAAAATAAACTGCCATATTTTAAAGACATGGTGTGGGGAAGTGGAATTTAATGCAGTGCTTGTCTGATCGGAGACCCATTTCAGATCGTATATCTAACAGGCAGTGAAGATTGCAGATTTTTAAAGAAATCAGATCTTAAACCAGACAATTTTGTAAAGGAAAGACAGTTCACCGGAAGCCCTTGGGCTTTCTGGCTGAAAATGAAAAGTCTGTGTGCATACAGCCCATTCTGCAGTCCTAGATCTGCAGAGTAAATGCAGCCTTAGTCAACAGTACATTATAAATAAAAAGCTTGAGTATTATACTTTGTAAACAATGTATAGGACTGTTAACATTTTATGTCTTTACATTAAATAAGAAAAATTAACAGACTAAAATGTGCATTTATAAATCAAATCTTTAGTAAGTATGCTTTATATAGTTTTTATTCTTCTCTGAGGAATTTGCTCTTGCTGCTTGAGCTATGAGTATATTGACATGTCCTGGTATAAGCCCAGACCTGCACTAGCCTGACAGTGGAAATTCAGCTATTGTTGCTCTCAGCTGTGACCTTGTTCTATTTGCGTTTCAGTGACAGGAACAGCCCCTGCTGCAAAAACTGTATGTTTGAAAGTGCAGATAAGGTCTGTCAGGAGGTCATCACTGCCACTTGCAAGGGCACGTCCCAGTGCACAGGTAAGCCTGATGACACTTCATTAAAAAGAAAAATTATAATAATAAAAATAATATAATAGGTAATAGCATAAAGTTCCACAATATTATTATTAGTTTATATAAATTAATTTGCTTGCTTAAGGTTTTATGTATTTATGTCTTTTCAGGCAATAGCAGTGAATGCCCCACTCCTGGTAACCTGGAAGATAACACTGAGTGTGTGGACAAGGGTCGATGCCAGAACGGCCAGTGCAGACCATTTTGTGAGGCTGTGCATAATCTGGAGTCCTGTGCCTGCAATGGTAAATATCTGGTAAAAATCATTTGCTTCCAGCATATGACTGGGGCTAGTTCACAGTTTTTGCTGTAGTGGGTATTTCTTTAGATTCTGCATAGACAAAGACCTTAAATGGTCTGACAGTCATATATGTGTCCCAGGCTGCTAAAAACACTATTAGGACACATATATATTTCACAAAAAGTGAAAATTGGTTGTTTTCGCGTTATTTTAAGCAGAATTAATCTTCCGGTTTAAAAAGAAATTTAAAAGCAACGACACGGCTCTATTGTGAATGCCACGTTGTGTTGCCATTCGTTATTAAAAAAAAGTGTTTAGAGACACCAGTCATCAGTGTCATTTATAAATGTGCCGCACAGAAGGTTTCGTTTTCATTTCCTTGCTATGAGAGCTCAGAAGGACTCACGTGTGGATTACAGTGGTCTGCTCACATGCGACAAAAATACGTTTGTAAGGAATATTTTTTTACCGAGAGCTTTTTACATATGGAAATGGTGAAATCCGGATTTGCCGCTTTAAAAAAGACACGCTTCCAGTTGGTGTTGATTGTACTATCTCGACAGATTTGTTAAGTGTGTAATCAGTGTTCTTTGTTTATGTTTATTAGATGGCAAAGTTAGTTAGTGTCATCAGCAGTAGTCTTTCAGTTTTTAAAGACATACCTTAGTCAAAATTATTTAGATTCAAAGTTTACAGTACGTTAATACCACTACATTATAGGCTGAAAGATCCACTGTAAATGCTGCTCTCTGAATGTAAACACCTCAATCCAACTATTACGGTTGTGTAGGATTTTTACCACATTTTCTGACAGGATAGTCTATACACACACACAGCTTTCTTATGCTACCTACCGAGTGCATCTAAGTTACAGAGAAATGCGGAGGTTTTTTTTTTCTTCTCCTATTCACCATGAGCTATCAAACATTCTATCATAACTACACTCTTCCATGGCCCTTTAATCAATCTGGACTGCAATGAAGTTTTCATCACTTACACAATTATTGTCCAGGGGGCAAAAAAAATGTTAATGTTAAAAAAAAAATAAAAAAAAAAAAATATATATATATATATATATATATATATATATATATATATATATATATATATATATATATATATATGAAAATAATATATTTATTATGCAAGTTATTTAAAAAAAAAATAAAAAATATTGTTTGATACACATGTGGCGTTTAAGATACCTTTTATAAATGGTTTGATTCACTTCAAATATTTTTTCCAGATGAAATATTGTCATTGAGAGCTTTTTTGGATTATTGAACTTTAATCTCTAAACTCTTGTGAAATTAAAACACTTGTGTTGTTTAAACACTTGTATTGTGTTGCTAAATGTAATATAAACGTAGAAAAAACTGTAAAAACAATAAAATGATGACAATTGGCAAATTATATTCGGAATTCATTTTATAATTTATTTTTGATCAGTTATTTTAGTATTTTGTAAGATAATTTAAGTGGTTTGGTGCATTGTGATGTATATGTAAATGTTGAGCAAGTAGTTTTTCAGTGATCAAAATTACAGAAAAATAATTAGTATTAATGTTATTGTTGTTAATGTATCCTTGCTGAATAGCAATGTTAATTTCAAACAATAATAATGGTAACAGTATTATTGGCCCCAGATTTATAGTACTGTAAATACAGATTCTGTGTGATCCTGTGATAACTATTCAATAATATAAGATGTATTGAACAAAGCCAAAATATTCAAATATTTTCATTGAATCTAAACAGAAACTGCAAAAAATATTAGAATTTCTGTAGAATTTCAAATTCTTTGGGATTGACAATGTACACTGAAATTGCTGCCAAACATACTACAATCACACATGCTAATAATAATCTATTTATTTTGTGATGTTTTTCAACCTGTTGTTATGAATGCTTAAGTGCTGACCCGGTGGATTTGCTGTGGTGTTTTTCAGAGACGGAGAACTCATGTAAAGTGTGCTGTAGGAAAGACGAGCTCTGTACTCCTTTTTTAAATGGAGGTTCATTTCTTTACCTGCGCAAGGGCAAACCCTGTACCGTCGGCTTCTGTGACGGGGCTGTGAGTGCACTTTTTTTTTGTCTGATTATTAATCTGACTGAATTCTTTCTTCTTTTCACTCCTTAATAAACATTGTGTTCTTGTTCATTTCAGGGCAAATGCATGAAACAAGTCCAAGATGTCATTGAGCGTTTATGGGACTTCATAGACAAACTGAACATCAACACTTTTGGTAATGAGATGATTGAGTGAATCATTCATGACGTCTGGCTTCTTCCTGTATTTTTTTGTCAATGCCAATGGTGCCTGTTTTATGTGAATGTTCAGGGAAGTTCTTGGCCGACAATATTGTTGGATCAGTGGTGGTCTTCTCTCTGCTGTTCTGGATTCCTATAAGCATACTGGTGCACTGTGTGGTGAGAACTTTTTCCCTAATTTACTCCATTAATCAAAACTGCAATATTAAAGTAAAGTAAAGTAAAGAACTTTTATTATCATTGTAGTTGTACAATGAAATTTGTTTGGTAACTCACAGAGACCAGCAGCAACATAAAAAGAGAGAAAACAAACAATAAACATCATACTAAAATATAAGAGGCAAGATAAAGTATACTAAATGTAATAAGTCACATAAAAACCAACAATAGACATAATACTAAAAATATAAGATGTAAGATAAAATATACTAAATGTAATAGTCACAGTATTTACATTATGGCAAATGAGTGCAAACATGAATATCCATAAAGTGTATCAATATCAATGATACTAATATAGCACTATTATTTACTCACAGTATATATTCATATTTTGAATTATGGATTTTTTTATTATATTAATCTAAAATTGCAATAATGTTATACTTTCCTTCGTTATTTATATAAATGTGTGTGTATATATGAGCAATATCACAGAAGTAGCAGTGCGATGTGGCTGTATATCAGCACTGGTGGCAGGCGTGCGTGGCAGCCACATCGCACTGCTACGAGTGTGATATTGCATTTATACAACAGTTCGATGGCATAATCGTGTATAAAAAAAAGAAAATCAAAAGGAGAGTCTAAAAACCCTTAGAGGAACTACTTTCTTCCACCATTCATTCACATCTGCAGCTGATGACAGAACAGCAGAAACCGTTTAGAGCTATATATCACCCAGTATTTTTCCCAGTATATCACCCAGTATTTTTGTTGCAATCAGGAGATCCCAATATTACTGTGGTATAAATACAGCACTACAATATACAGGTGAGAGATCGACTTAGAAAGTCATTTACCTGTTTAATAATGATTTGATCAGCTGTAGTTTGAAATTAGCTGTATTTCTCCTAGGGCTTATTATGTGTCTCTGTTTACATCTTGTGGATTGACATCGTCAACCATCTTTGCGCAAAGACAGGCTAATGGCCACCGACGCTCTTTCTCTATCAGAAATTATAAATATTTTAAAAAAGGCACTATCCTTATAAGTAAACTGCATAGTTACAATCTAAACAATTACATTCTTGACTAAAAAAGCCTCAAAAGTACATTATGTCGTCCAACAGCAGCAAAATTTGTCAAACTGTAGAGTGTCCTCTGCTTGTTGCTGTATGTGGGCGGAGTAATGCACAAGGGTAAAGGGTGAAGAGTGCTGTTTCTGGCAGAATATTGCAAGGTTATCAGCCAATCAGATTCATGAACTAGACAGAACTGTTGCATAAATATACATATATATACACACATTTATATAATTGTATATGTATCCTCTTAAAGCCCAAGCTGTTTTTTAAAAGCATTTTTTATTTCTCTTTGCTTTTTGGGCTTATTGGAACCTATTTCGAATAAAACCTAAGTATCATCTTTTGATATGATGTACTTTTAGAGAAAAATGATGTCCATAAATGTGGACTTGTGGTCCAAAATTTCCATAAAACACAATAAAGTCACCTTTGTATAATAGAATGAAAACCTCTTTATTTCTGCCTTGAACACAGCAGTTTTTTTTTTCCTGACTTTTTCTTAATGCATTAATAACACACACACATATGTTTTAAACATGTTTAGACTATCAGTAAGAAAAATGTTTTTTTGCCCATTTTGGACAGTTAAAATAGTGTTTGGGACATTTTATATGCTGCACAACAGCTGCAGGGTGACACTATATGTAACAGGTAACAAAATATAAAACATAAGAGCTAAAATGTGCTGTCCACGTATAGGCCACTTAGAGGGTATATATTTGGTATTTATATGTATATTTGGTATTTATTACATTTTTTAGTTTATCATTTCTAACATTTTAATAGCATTTATAAATAATAATAATATTTTTTTTTACATTGTATGAAACAAACAGAAATTTTGACAACCACTGTATATAAGTAACCTCATGACTTTGAGTAAAAGATGAAAGAAATATCATTAAACTCTTAAACACAAGACATTAAAGTGCTCGTTTCTTTTTGCTTATTAACAGGACAAGAGACTGGATGAACAGTATGAGGAAAACACCAAAATGATGTACCCCAGTGTAAGTCCTTCTGTCAAACAAAACTACAGTTTCCACAATAGACTCCCTTCTCATGCAGCACTGATCTCATTACTAACAGACTAACTAACTAACACTCTAAACCTGCATCCAAAACCCAAAAGTGGGATTGTGTATCGATTCTGATGTCCTATTTTGATTAGATCTTGATTCACAAACTCTCAATTAATTTTGATGTAGAGCGTCTAGATTTAAAACAAATGTTATTGACAGTGTACTTCAGGTACATTTCTATAGTATCCACCCCTATATTTCAGATGCATGAATAAGTAGTCATAATTGAAATAATAGAAGAACACCTATATATATATATATATATATATATATATATATATATATATATATATATATATATATATATATATATATATAAATATATAAAGCTATAAACATACTCAGCCAATAGCACTTCATTTTTACCTTTTTGTTCTTATTGATTAATATTACCAACATAAATGGTGCAATTTTAAGACCTTATATGTGGATAATTTTCACTTTAGACTTGACAGTTTACATAAATGTTTAGCAAGGTGGGCATTTCAACATATATGCATGTATTTGACTGTTCGAGTTGCAATAAGCCACAAAAATAAAGTGTATTGAGCTCTTGTGTCTTTTTTGGCGATGGGTGCACAGGAAGGGTCCTGAAGCTTCCTCAAGCACATTCTGTTCTTTCCTTGCACTCATCTATACTTTTTGTTGCTTTGAAGTGTTAGTTCATTCAAAAATGAAAATTATGTTATTAATTACTCATGGCTTTAATATTTATTTTGTTACAAACCCCTGAGTCCTTCAGTTATCTTCAGAACACAAATTAAGATATTTTAGGTAATATCAGAGAGCTCCCTCTGGTTCCCAACTTGTTCAAAGTCCAGAAAAATACAAAGAAAATCCCCAAAACAGACCATATACCTTCAGTGGTTCAGTTGGAATATTTAAGCAAAATATATAAAGCAAAAGTACAGATTTTATTTAACAATTTCTTCTCTTCAGTGTCAGCACTGTTCAGTGACGTATACCCCACCAATACCTGCGCGCAACTTCTTCTCTTTGAAACATACCACAGACGCTTACTAGGTAATACGACGTATTTTTCCGGACTTTGAATGAGTCCAGAATCTTGCTGTGAGGATGGGGGAGCTCTCTGATCTAGTTTGAAATATCTTCATTTGTGTTCCGACATGAAGGGTGAGTAATTAATAACATAATTAACATTTTTGGGGTAAACTAACCCTTTAATGTTTGTAAGCAATACTGCAGTGTACAGAAAAGCTATATGGAAACATCTATTCATGAAACGGACAAGGCTTTTATACTTCCTGCGTTCGCCGTTGTGATATTCTTTAAAATGACAGGGGGCGGTCAAAAGACATTGACCTTAAAATCAGATGGATAAACAGAAGTAGAAAGTTTCCTGAACTCGTCATATCATTAATATCCTTCAGTATTTTTAAGCTAATTGTTTTTATTGTTTTTACAAATTATTTTAATGATTATAAGGATTTTTATAACAATTCAAGATTTTTTTTAAGTCAAACTTTGATGCATAACTTGCTTTTGTTTATATCACGGACAGTTTTACCTTTTAAAGTTTATTAAAATATTAATGACAACAGAACATGGGTTTCTCTACAAATATATTTTTATATTTTATATTTTTTATTATGGCAAAAAATAAAGCAAGATATAAAAGAGCACACTTACTTAAAAATACAGATGTTTTTTTTTTTTTTTTTAGATTTTGCCCACTCAACAATTCACACATTACAGTCTGGCTAGTTTCTGTTCCTCTACTTTTGCTAAAAAGGCAACAATGGTCCAAAATCCTGACAATTATAACCAATAAAGCCTAGAACAACAGGCCATCGGTATATTGTAAAGCGATAGGTTCAAATATTCCTTTCCAGTTATCAAATAAATAATTTGTTCTTTAATTTTAGTTTTGTAACTATTAAATTGTTTTAAATTCACAATTGTATATATACATCAGTGTATACTGACTGGTGGAAAACCATATTTCTGTAATTGTGTACCTGGCTCACTTTTGGCATGGCCTCTTTTGTTTTTTAAAAACTTATCCTTCAGGTTTTTCCAAACCTTTTAACAAAAACTTTCTCCTTTCCCATGGCTGTTGCTATTTCTAGCCAAGAATTATTGATCATCTGGTTATCTCTTTGATCAGGGATCATAAAGATGTGTGCACAGTCGTACTGTTTAAGACAAAATGTCTTAAAAGTGTTTCATATTTAACTCAAATCAAATGCGGCGCCGCACGCACTGTTCGCTGGAGTCTCAAAAAATGCTGTGCGCACCACCAGCCAAAGCTGGTTCGCTCGCACCCAAAGCAAACATCCCCAAACTCTGCAATGACGTCAAAAACCCGCCGCACTCAAAAAAACAAGCGGTCGTGTCAAGTATAAACTAGGCTATACAGAACAAAAACTGTTTTTGAGAATAAAAATCTGATCAACCAATTTTTAAAAATGGATTAATTAATCTTTTTCCCCAGGCCTACTCTAAAGCAGCCTAATAATAACTTGCTGATCCAGTTAGTATGGTGTGTTCTACTGTATCTCAGGCTAGTGCGGGCGAGCGTGGCTGCACATGTATGACTTGTGGCTTGTTTGCTCTGACCCTTATGAACTGCAGCAGATGGTGCTGGAGGTGTGTAGTAGAGCCCTTAATTCAGGTGAGTGAGGGTCCCGCACTGCTGTACTCCCCTGAGTGCCGGGTATCATGTGGGCCGATTGAGTTTAGTTCAGCTTGTCCTGTTTGTCTTGTGCATTTAGTGCCGATTTCTAGTTCAAACGTTGATGTCGTTTTTTTCTTATGTTTTATGGATGCAGTTCAGTACTGGAGTATTTTAAATGCACGGCTTAAATACTCTTGATACTGCATTTTCTACGGATGCCGTCTCTTTATTTGATTTGATTCAAGAGATGTGAATGGACCCCACTGGTTTGGTTGCATATTTTGCTGCATTTGTATCAAGTGTAGCATGCTGTTGATGTTATGGATGGGCATCAGATTGGCTACTCGTACTTGACAGATGGAAAAATATATATTACATTTTTTTCTGCTTATTGAATTACAATTTATTTTAATTATGTTCCACTTTGCTCGATATTAAAATTAGTTCAAAAAAGTTAATAAACAAATTTTGTAAAAGGGATAGTTCACTCAAAGATAAAAATGTACTCACTATTTACTCTCCCTCGTGTGGATCCAAACCTTTAAGTGTTTTTTTTCTTCTGTTGAACAGTAAAGAAGATATTCTTAAGAAAGCTAAAAACGTTGACTTCCATAATAGGAAAAACAAAGACTATGGAAGCTTTCTTAAAAATATCTTATTTTGTATTAGTTATGCAATGATTCTGGTTGTACGATTATAATCTGAGGAATAATCACGGTTTCCCAGTTATCAAGATTATTCTGCATTCATTAAGTGAAAACACTACTAGTTTAGAAAATCACATGAAATCTCTTTATATTTTAAGGTGTTATTTATTGTTGCTCCGTAAACAATAAATACAGCACAAAATAATAATAAAACAAATGCCTATTTATCTTTGGAAATAAGTGAAAAGATTTTGGCTTAAGTAAGTATTTAAGTAATAGTTTTAAACTGAAAATAAATGACAGAATGAATAAATAAATTAAAATATTATTTGTCTTATGTAAATCTAAGTTACATATTAGCTTAGTATTTCCTTTTTAAAGAGAACAAATGTAGTCAAAGGCTGTTGAAGGTTCTTTTGATCAACTCTATTATAAAATTGTTTGGTATTTACATTTTGCATTTTATTTTTCTCTTTGGAGTTGAAATGTGTATATTCCATACAAAGTTTTAGTTAGGTGCGACTGGAAAGCACTCGTGTGTCTCTTCAATAAATGTGTACAAGCCACACGCTTCCATTGGAAATAAGGAACTTGCATGTGCAAAGGAAAATATATATGAACGGCCCTGAGTTAATAGCCGCAGCCATAGTTAAAATCAGCCATTAGTATGCATGGGTATTCGCATCATTGTACATGCTCGGAACTTTAAAAAGCGGTTGGCATAATAAGCCTTTACGATTAATTTACCGTGATGAATTAAAGCATGGTTAATAGTGAAACCGGTTATTCGTTGCAGCCCTGTTTTGTATTCAACGGAAGAAAGAAACAAGTTTGGAACAGGTAAAGGGAATTATCAGGGTGAACTATGCCTTTTTATGTTTGAAAGAGCATTTTACAAAAATAGTTTATTATTAGCCTAGATTTGCTTAGAGGTTTTTAAATAAATCTGCTATTATAAAATATCTTAAATACTATATAAATAGTGTCTTGCTGTTAATTCTTCAAGGTTTTATGATGTCAAATGTTACTAATTATTTTAAAGAAACCATTTGCGTCCATTGTTTTTAGTCTTTATCAGCGGTTCCTAATCTGTTATATGTCATTGAGCCACCAAATATAAACATCCTCGTGCATGGAACCTACTACTAATACTAATACTACTGCTGTAATCCTTCATAACTAATACTAGAATTCTATAATCTAATATCCCCTGAAGGGCTATCAAATATTATGTAGAATACAGTGGTGCCCCCAGAAGGGGTAAGGCTACACCAAATCTTAGGGTGGCACACACACACACACACACACACAAAAATGAATTGTGTATATATTGTGAATAATGAGTAATGTTATATTTTTGTTTCTGGTAAATAAAATAACAAAGTTTTAATTAATTCCTTTAACTACTCTTGAAATATTGTAATTTATTCCTTGAAATAATTCAGCAAGTACACATGCAAACCAAACCAATATTTAGTTTAAAAACACCTTTCATGCAAGTTATTTTTCATATACTTTTATTGTACAACATACAGTATATGCCATATCTAAAATTAATAAAGATTAATGAATTGATTAATAACACAAACAAACTAAACAAAAGGCATTACTACATACACACACACTCACTATACAGACCCTAATACTATTGTTTATCCATGTTTCTTTTTGAGCCACAATATTCGTAATACATATGTTTCTATTGATGTACCTTTTTGCAAAATACACCCACAAAGTCATTGAGATTTTGGCTCTTTTAAGTCTACCAGCAAATTAATGTAGTTGCTAAATAAACTAGATTCAGAAAAGCTGATTTCAAAATGCATTTATTTGTTTATTCATTTTTTGGATTTGTGGTTTTCAGTCTGATAAAACTCAACTTTTTCATTTAAAAAAATAAAAATACATTCTTCATAAAAAGTGTGCAATCTCAGTAAATCAGCTAAGTCAGTGGTATTAATCAATCCACAATAATTTAGTGGCTGCATTTTATTGATTAATTAATTAATTTATTTATTTATTGAAATATTGTAAATTAACGCAAGTACAATTAAATTAGTAGTATCAATAACTAAATCATAGTGGGGTGGCCAGAATTTACACAAGTCTGGCCGTGGCCACCCCTTGGGGGCGCCCCTGGTTGGTTAATGAGAGACCAGCAAAAAAGGTTTGAATTATTATAATAATAATAATATACCAAAATCTGTGATGCACAGACAATGTACTTTTATATTCAATAATAGCTGTCACTTCCGAGTACTCGTGCCCATCCCTAATAATGCAGGATGTAATTCAATCCCACACTGATCCTATCACAACCTTCTATGTTCAGAGCGGAGAGATACTGAGCAGTCTGGAATCGGTGCCCGTCCGCATAGTCAAGGCCCATCATGTACATTCACCAGCAGCACGACCTCAGCTCTCAATGGCCCCTACAGGCCCCGGCTCCACACCGGCACAGGAGACGCTCGGCGGCCCAGGCCATCCCAGCCTCTCCGCCGCACCCAAAGCGGATCAGCTGCGAATGGCCACAATCGAGGAGGACCCCAGCGGAGACTCCTTTCACCCAGACGAGGAGGAAGGCTTCCGGCTAAGCGGCACAGCTGCCAGGTCCTTCGAGGACCTCACCGAACAGGCAACACCATCACACAAGAGACGGCTGAAGAGACAGGCGCGCATTGAAAGTAAGGAGACGGAGTGCTGAGGCTTGTGAATGCAAGTCGCAGATCCACTCCATTAAGACACGAGTTAATCAGGCTTCAGTTAGAAGTGTGTGGCGTGTAGACTGCTGACACGTTTCAGTTGGGTTTTAGAAAAGGTGTAGCATTCCTTTAATAATGCACAGTGGCAGTTGTTACAGATAAAGGGTCAGTGAAAGGGATGGTTCACACCAAAATGAACATTTGTGGATATTGATACAAGCAACCTTCTCTTTCTTCAGTAGAATAATAAAGAAGATTTTCAGCAGCCCACTCATACAACTGCTGTAGTTATTCAACTAATAGTCTGTAGTCATGTAACTAATACTAGAAATCTATTATCCACTGTGAAGGGCCTTCAAAGATTGTGTTGGAGAATGGGGGACTAGTCTAAAAAGTTTTAGGTCAAAGAAAACTATTAGTACAGTGGGACCTAGCAATGCTTTAAAGTTTTATGTAGCAAAACAGTTGGTCTGTGCAAGAAACTGGCCATTATTTACTACATAATTACCACAGGGATGTGTTGGTAGCCATTGACCTGCATTTTATATAACTCTAAAAACAATAGCTGGTGTTAAAATGCTTCTTTAATATGCCACTGAAGAATTTAGATTTTTTTTGGTAACACTATAGTTCGGGGCACAATTCACAGTATTATCAAACCATTAACTAGCACTACTAGCTTAAATGAATTGGCTAATTAGCTTTATAATAATATTTAGTAAAGTAAATCGGCTTTAGGTTTTGGGTAGGATTAGGGATGCAGAATAAGAGCATACTTTATAACTACAAACGAACAGGTAACATCTTATTAATAAGCAGGTAATAAGTCAGTAGTTAAAAGCATGAATCATGGCCTAAACTAAAGTGTTACCTTTTTTATGTACATTTGGGTAAACTATCCCTTTTAAAACATGTCCAAAACTGCCAAAAGAAACTCTTAATGTTTGTTAAATGCAAAATTCAACTTTGGACAGCAAATCTTTGGCTGTAAAATTAAACTCAAGCTAAAAAGCCATGTTTAAAGTTAAAACACAAAAACAAACCAGTTGACTTATTTTGTGGGCAATAAAATGGTACAAACAATTGTTTTGTTTCACAGAAGAAGAAAAAAAATCTTACAGGTTTGTAACAAGCGTGAATAAATAAATAATTGTAATTGTTTTTGTAATGCAATTCCAAAATACATAATTCCACTGCAGTTTTCAGTCATTTTTTGTTGTTTTTATCCGCTGAAGTGCAATTCTTAATATATTTTGACGTCATTTAAAACCAAATTTGCTGTCCAAAGGGCTTAAAGAGATAATTACACCAAAAATGGGGGAAAATATCATTTTCTCATCCTCTTGTTGTTCTAAACCAATAACAAAATTTCTGATTTCAAAAGGTTCATAATTTACACAAATTAAACGGTTAAATCTATTGTTTATGGATAAAATCCAAACCTCAATCTGATCCACATATGCAGTTTGTTGGCAATCTCTTATTTAAGTGTAAAAGTTTTGGCTTTTGACATTTAAATAGTTTAAATGACATAAAATAATCCATTTATGTTTAGATTGAATGTCTTATTTAAACATGAGGGTGAGCATATGATGACAGTACTGTCCTTTTTTTAAGATTTATTTTTTGCCTTTTTGCCTTTATTAAGTGGATAGGACAGTATTTCAGACAGGAAGTGGAGTGGGAGAGAGAGGGGGTAGGGATGGGAAATGTCCCTGAGCTGGGATTCCAACTCGGGTTGCCCTGAAGTGCTACTGCACCGTATGTCAGTACACTAACCACTAGGCTATTGCACCGACAGTACTGTCCTTTTTTGGGCTGAACTATTCATTTTACTTGGATTTAACCTGGAATATTCCTTTAATCAGTCAGCATGTGCCTTTTAACTCTGGCTAATTTCTGTAACTTCTTGTTTATTTATACCTCATTTAAAAACGAGCAGCTGGTTTACATCACGCCTCTAGACGTGTCATCACTTTACTGTTACACTGGTTGAATTGCTGAGAAAAAAAAAAATCTAGCTATGCATGTCCTATGCCATATGTATATGAATTAAATGTCATGTGTGTGTGGAAACTGTAAGCGGACATGCAGTTATGATGAGTTTTCTTAATGACAGAAATTGCACAGGATGTTAAAAATTCTGCATTTTAAGGTTTATTGAGTTTAATTTGTATTATTATAAGCTCTATATCATCTCATGTTGTATTTTAATTTAGCGTCAATACGTGAAACACTGATTACAGAGCTGAGGGGTGTGCATATTTCAAAGATTTCTGTTTTTTGCCACTATAAACGATTATATATGTGACCAAAACCACTCAATATTTTAAGACTAGTGACTAGTAAGCCCCCCACTGTGAAATATCTTACTATTCAAGTTGGATTTTAGGATCTTGTAAAGTTTTTTCTGTGCCAAAATAAGTCAATGTGACTGAATATATATTTTGTATCATTTCTTATATTCACGTGTATCAAATCAGAAGTCATTAAAACTGCACTTGGATGTAGAAAGCTGTATATCATGTTATTCTGCTATCATTCAATGTGTGTGTTTTGGGTTTTCTTGGTTTTGTTACATATATTTAACATGTATTCCTGGGGTTATAGCCCGCATGAATAAACTGCCTTCACACTGAAGTGTTTCAAATTGTTTTTGGACATGCACTCAAGAGAACATGCTGTTAATTTTGCCAGAAGGTGTAAAAATCAAAGAGCTTATTGTTTCAACTGAAAGCTTGCTATGTTAGCACTCCAACAAATCCATTTTCTTCATCAAAACTTTATTAAACAGTTTTAAAAAAAAGGACTATTTTTAACATCAAACATTTTTGTATTAGTCATTCAGCTTGCATTTGTAACTGTAAATACCTCCTGTTTTTAGATACAGTTTGTTTCAGTTGAAAAAGGATAAGTGAACATGGTGGCTGAGCCTTTCATGATCTTCATCATATCCAAACATGTCTAAATGTAAACAAAATGGACACAATGCTGTTTTATATCTCTTATGCATCATTTGACCTGAGTTTTAGTCGCACAGTAGGCTGCTCTCAGGGCATTTCGGGTCCACGTCCCCCCAATAAGGCAGAATGAAGGGCAAATCAGACACTCGCCTCTCTAGAAGAGTCCATAAATGTTCTGCTACAAACTGATTGCCTTTATCAGACAGATGCAGTCCATCCGAAAGATACACTGAGAAATCCTACGCAGAAAATGCATTGGTTTGTTTTTCTACATTTATAAATTTTCAACATTATATACTCACTGGCTACTTTATTAGATTTTATTAGTCTTGTTGTGCATTTAGAATTGCTTTAAATTTGTTATTTACCTTTGTATCAGCTCATCAGAAATGTGCATGAAAATTGGCACCATCATTTATTATCCCTTTTGTGGTTTTAAACCTTTAAGTTTACTTTATTTGTCACAAAAGAAGATACTTTGACCAATCAACATTCATAGTAGGAAAAATACCTTGGAAGTCAACATCATTTTTCAAAATATCTTCTTTTTTGTTCAAACTCAAGTGTTGAACAGGTGAAGGGTGAGTAAATGATGAACTATAACTTTATGCACCATTTATTCCCCAATTCTTGAATTTCACATCTATAGGCTGCACTGTGATTGGCTGGTTAGCTATTTGCTTAAACTAACAGTTTGTACCTAATAAAGTGGCCAGTTTATATGCATATGGTATGGTTGTGCTAGCATGTGTATTACCTGTCCATCTTTTTGCATGAGTGTCCACAGATCCAGAACATCCACACCAGACTCCCCAGCAGCTTGAACGCAGGCCTGCGCGTACTGACCAGCCACAGAGTTCAACCGATTTAAAGGTGAACCTGATCAAAATGAGTTTTGATTTCAGTGTGTGAATGTGGGTGACAGAGAGAGACTGAGGATATGTTTGTAATTTAATACTACTAGAGAACTGCTAGCTGTAAGCTCAATATACTGCCAAGTATTTATTTAAAAATAGTATGTGAAACAGCATGCAGCATGTTCAGTGTGTTTCAAATAGTATGCCAGGTTGTACGTTACGTTAGATCAGGGGTGCCCAAAGTTTTTCCTGTAAAGGGCCAAAAACCAAATTGGTTTGAGTGCAGTGGGCCAAATATATACCAAACTATTGCAATACATTTGCCAAAAGGCATTTCCTTATGTTGCTTTAAATCATATTAACTAATACAGTATCGTTTTTAAACATTTTATACTGAACTTATTACAGTAAAAACATAAACAATCCCGTTTATAACACAATGGAGTTTAATGCTGAGTTTTAGTCGAGCTGCTCCTGCCTTTACATTGATTTGCTAGCCGATTTCTTGTGCATTGTCTTCAATCTGTCAAGTGACAGTATTTACATTTTAAAAGTCTGATTTATTTACAACATTTAATTGTAGCATTTAATTTTTATTCATAACAACCTTTTTTGTAGCTCAGCAATAAAACAAATAGACAAAAGGTTTTATATTAAATTCAAAATGACGATCTCTGTCAAAGGCATTTTCTCCAACCACCTCCCTATCATTCTCCCTCTCTATTCAGATGGGATGGTGGGCCAAATCGTTACCATGAGCCAACTTTGGCCCGTGGGCACTACTTTGGGCATCTCTGCATTAGATGATTTATCAGAAAATAAATATTTTCTTAAGCTTTTATAATACAGTACGAGATGTGGGATTTGAGTGTAATTTGTTAATTGTTAAATTAACAACTTTAAATAGTGATCGCAGTTGTTGGTGTTAGAAGATATTTAAATGACTTGTTTTGCGTCTTACAGTAAAAGTATTTAGCACAATTAGAAATGTTTTAAAAACAAATTTCAGGAGGAACATGCACAGATGTTTTTAACAAATCTAACAAATCACTGACAATTATTGTATTATCAGCATTAGACCAAAACCTTTTTAATACCAAACTCGTCCTACATGCATTATCTCACGACATTATAGTATCCCTCCACCCACATCTACCCAGGGGATCGTTCCTTTAGTATTTTGAAAAAATCTGAACTTTGATGTGCAAAAATGATACAAATACAGTATGAAGGAAAGCTTTGAGAATTAACACACAGGGGCAGAAAAATCTGACCTGCGGCTGTTTAGAAACGCATGCAAAGATACGCTTTTACAGCAAAACACATTTTCTTAATTTGCCAAAAACTGTAAAGGCATGTTAACCTATCATGATGTTTAGTTATGATCACAGGATTGATTTATTTTAATTTGTATTAGTTGGATTTGTGTGATTTTTGGGTTCAGTGTATATTCAAACTATTTACCTTTTTCTAGGTTTGAACAAATCAAGTAAATGAACTGTGTGCATAATTATAAAATAAGTCAACTGTTCAGTTATTACAATGGGTTTACACACTTTTTAGTAGCTTTTTGCTTTATAATGTAAACATTTAAAAAACAATTACTAAAACTGAAACTAAATATAACAACACCATTAATAAAAACTGAAAGTAGCAGCAAATATTAAATAGTAATGAAATAAAAAATGAATTAAAAATGCTAAACCATAATAATTTTGCCACTGGAACTAGTGAGGTCAAGTAGCAGTGTAAACTGTTTTACTTCACTGCATCTGTTTCACATACTACAAAAGTGAAGCATGCAGTACAAAAGTTTTGAACACAACCTCAAGTCAGGAGGTTAATCACCTTTCAGCAAGCACTCTTTCTCCCAGTCGGCTTCTAGAAGTGGTGGTGGAGTGATGAAGATGATGTTGTCATTGGACACTCCTTTAGACACCAGAAATCTCACAATGTCTTTTAAATTCTCCGAGAACTCCTGCAAAGGCACGTGCTGCGTCGGGTTCTTGTCTGGATAGAAACTACTGTAAGTGTTGTGTATATACATTATTAGAAATGATGATGATAAAAATATTCTTACAGTACCTTCCAGAGCGCAATCATTAGCGCCGAAAAACACAGTCACCGCCGATATTGGAGCATCAGAAACTGGTACAATGCGGGGGAGCACAATCTTAGCCCACCGTGTATTGTAACCCGACAAGCCCCGGTTTATCACGTCGCATTTTCTAATAATTCAGAGAACGATATTATCATCATTTGCGACTTTATGAATCCTTTTACACACATCATTGCAGTCACGAAAGTACCTCTCGAGTTTATGACAGAGTTCAGATCCCCATCCATTCGCTTGAAACGCAAACTGAAACATAAACAAACATAAATGTCAGAGGAGTATGAATCGCTAGCCAAACTGCACAGCGTATTCAAATGTTACCTGCGTTATTGAGTCGCCGAACAGAATGATTTGAGGCCATATGACTCTCTTTAGTGCCGACATTGTAACAGCAATTCCTGCTACACGTCCAAGTGTACGAGGAGGAAGCGAGCATTCATTATGTGGTGAATCCGATTCGTTCGTTCGTAAACGATTCGGTCTTTGAATCTTTGAATCGTTCAGTTGGACTGATTCAGTTTCTGTTTTCAAATTGGGACAGAAGGCTTCAGAAAAAAATAGGATACTCATTTGGACAGAGCTATATACCATATGGTGGTTTTATTTAATGCATGGATAGATGAATAGTTAATTATTGGTAATCAGTCAATTTCATACTAAACATAACTAAGAGTAATACATTGAATTAATATTAATATGTTGGTTCAGGTATAGTTGTAGGCTATTAACAAACAAATACATTATATAATAGAGTGCAGCGAGCGTCAGTTAATTTACTCGGTCTATTCTAAAAATAAACCATTGCCAATTAATAAATGTACAAGTGTATTCAGCTTTAATAAACAGATATTCTGTTCAAAATAAAAATAGTCACCTGCTGTTAAAGTATGAACTTGTTCATTGATTAAACCTTAAACATCTTGTGTTATTCTGTCCATTCTAAAAATGGCTAGCTATAAATGAATAAATAAAAGTTTTGATAATGGTATTATTAATGATGTTGTGGTGGTAAATAATAAACAAATTAATCATTCATTATGTGATAAGCTTAATTTTGTTAAGATGTTACTAAAAATATCCATGCTGAACAGTCACATATTAAATTAATTCATAAATAAAACTTTAATAACATTTATTATGGGGTTGTTCTGCCTATTCTAAAATGGCTTGTTAACAAATAAATAAATGTCTTTATTTAAGCTGTTATTTTGTCCTTTCCAATCATAGTTTTATTGAATGAGTGAAAAATGAATAAACTAATCAAATGTAGGTTGTAAATATACAATTTTTATTTTATTACATTATTTATTAATATGAATCACGCTGCCATTAGTTGGCCATTCTAAACAGCATTATTATTTGACAAATAAATAAATAGACAAACATTCAAGTATTCTAATTTTTCTGAACACTTAAAACAAAGTAATGCAAAAGTAACTCAAAAGTAACAACACATTATATAAAAAAGTAACTAAGTAATGCAATCAGTTACTTTTTTGGGAGTAACTCAATATTGTAATGCATTATCTTTAAAAGTAACTTTCTCCAACAATGATGGTAAATAGCATTACATTTTCAAAGCAACTGGAAACATTTATCACATATCCAATAATAAAAAATAAATTTACAAATGACAAATTTGTTCAAAGTTTTTCAGTAAAGTTCATTGAGCCTCTGCAAAAATGTATGCAAGTGCTGTTTAAC